GGAATTATATCTTTTTTTTGGGAGACAAGATTGGGCAATTGCATTCGCTTTCAATGGAGATTCTGCGGTCGTACGCATAAATCTGTTGCTGTTTTTGATTTCACTCGCCGCGGATAATGAAATTAATCGTCTGTAATGGTTTATTGTGTGCGGCGATTGTGGAGTTTTGTTTTTTGGCCAGGCCAGAATGGCTCGACCCGATGCCGACTAGCCAGCCCGGCCAAGCCAGCCAACCAAAAATGACCAACGACCAGATACCAAAAATTTGTTTGATTTCGTTCGGGGCTGGCTCTTACTTTTTTGGTTATTTTTTTATCGGCCGTTGTATATCCCAGAAATATATTGAATTGTCATTGAATGTCGCGTTGCCATAAATAAGTCGGGCTAATGGGGCGAGGTTCATGCAATTTTTGTGATTTAGTGGAGGGCCTTTGGAATTGAGCTGGCTTTTGAGGGCTGCGAAGGACCCCGCGTCGGCAAGTCGTATATCAATGGATTACTTTAAAATGGCAATCGACCAAACTGTCGAATCGCCTGTCACGCTTCTAAACTAATAACGCCAGAATAATCATCATAAATCCATAAAAGAAAATCTTATTAATCCGTCCCCCGAGGCACCAGAACATTTTTTGATGTTTTGCCGAACGTTAAACAAAAAAAGTAAAAAATAAGAGCGGGGAGGGACTCAGGACAGACAGGACACCCAGGACATCCAGGACACACGTCGAGCCCCTTTGTCTGATGTCTGCGGCTTATAAGCTTCATTCGATGCCACACACTTCAAATTCAAATTACTACACATTATATAATATCCTGCAGGCTCTCATCACTCCCACCCGAATCGCCCAACACGTACGGCTAGAGGAGGAAGGACATGTTGGCACAATACGACATAACAACGTAGCCGGAGGACAAAGTACAAAAAAAGGATATATGTATGGATAGAAGGGAGTGTGAAGTAGTACGTGAATGAGGTGGATTGCCTGGTCTTTAGTTTTCTGACCCCTTTCCTCAATATCCTTGCTGACACCTCCACGCCCGGCTTGCTAGTTGATTAAGAAGACATCATTTAAGTTTAAAAATATAAAGAAAATTCTGTGATGGGTGAGACATTGTTAGAATAACACTGAGTGCTAGAAATATATGCTTTCAGTTTTTAAATAGTATAAAATGCTTAAGAGAGATTCGTAAGCCCAGTATGAAGTCCAGAATAAAGCAGTTTTGTTAGAGCCATTTTTGCAAAAAGCCCAAAAGGGAGAAGACCAAAATTCTCCCTTTGTTTTCTCATAAAAGTTTCAAGATTGCCTATTTTTCTATTATTTTTTGTTACAAAATGTAACATAACTTGTGCACACAACTGTACTTTCACACACAATTTCAAGTTATAATCAGTGCTCATTATTATACCAGACACGTTTTCAGATTTTGCGTGATTATGCGCCGCGGCTCGGCACCATTCTCGTGGAGCCCCATGGAGTGGAGTGGAGTTTTTGGGCAAACACAAGACACGGAGAAGGAGCCCAAGTCAAGGAATTAAACTTGAAAATAGCTTAAGAGATACATACTGTGTATCTAGCAGATACTGGCTAGGCGATAGAATGTTGCCTAGGTCCTGGCCGAGCTGGATTTTGCTTCGGCTACATGCCATAATGCTTATTGTTGTCATTTGGCGGCAGGCTTGGAGGCCTGGTGGTAGCTTGGTGGCACGAAGGAAAAGTTGGCGAAAAATATGCAAATTATAATGAAAAACTTGACACTTTACATGCAAAGCAACAAGAAGAACAACAACACATCGCCAAAAAACCGGAATGAAAAGCAGAGGTTGGCTCGAGGAGAAGGTCGTACTTCCCGGAACGGTATCCTTCGTGTGCCACCATCCTGTGGGCCGATGCGAATCTGTGGCAGGCGATTAAGCGGGCCAAATGAAGCGCTCGCACTGCCTTCGCATTTTAATTAAGCAAGCACCCGAAACAGTAACAACTATAGTTCTCCCCGGGTTTTTTCGGTTGACGTTGTTCGTTTTTGGTTGCTGGTTGTGGGTTGTTGTGCCCTCCATGCCCCCCTCTTTGTTCGCTCACAAAAATGGCACAAAATCCCACCCAGACAACGTACTCATCAACACTCAGCACTCGCTGCGAATTCCCGTACAATTTGCATAAAGTTTGGCTGCAGCTGCAGCTTTGTTTCGCCTTGGGTTTTTGATTTCGGCCGCAAAACGTCAACGAGTGTCTTGAGGAGTTAACAAAGTTCGAGGTGTTATGGAAATGCGAAATGAAACATTTTGTCGTACGGAGTAATTACATACATGGTGTGATACGAACAGCCAATTCCATGGACTAATTGGGAAGGTAAAGTATTTCATATTCATAACTATTTTTAAAAAGTATTTAAGAAGAAGGATACTTTTATTTAAACATACAAGTTTTTTATTGCCAGGAGTATATACTTCGCCAATATTGCTTTAAAAATCTGGGCCGATATACATAACTTGTTCCCTATGCTAAGCCGATATTGCTTTATTATTGTTGTTTGAAACCTATACTTGGCTTATGGTGGCCTTCTATATAAGGATCATTTTAACATCCGATTCTGATGATGATCTTTATCATTTTTGGAATTTTTTAATATATTATATTATTAATTATTAATTATTATATACTTATATACTTATTATTATGTCGATTGTACATCAATCTGCATCAAAATATTTAATTCAAAACCATTAAATTTTTCGAAAGATCCTTTTTTATAATTTTTATTAGGAACCCCCTTTGAAGAATTATAAAAACGACTATAAGGATCAATTTTTTTTGCGATTCTTGCACTTAATACCTTAAAGTGTTAAAATATCTATTATCCAAGTATTTACATCAAATCTTTGGATAACATTTCTCACTTTAATTTTTTAAAGGACTCCCCGCTCAATGGCTATTTTTCTCACTTTATTCAATTCCTAAACGTCATACCTTAAATGATTTGTATACGGAATTACTAAAAGATCCTTTCATTTTTATTAGACCATTACCTTTTTTTTTGAATAGAAACAGAGTCACGTGCTCCTTGAATAACAAAAGATGCCTTGTTTTACAACAAAATTTCACAATTTATCCCCCATTATCCTTGGCAACGAACTTACCCTTATGTAAACGCAAAGCAAACACAGTTCCATAAACTTTAACAGCTCTTTTAACTTTAATCTTTGGTGCGCCCAAAAAAAGTTTCTACGATTTCTTTCGCACACACCAGGACAGCCAGGACAACCAGGTCTGCCAGGAGAGCAAGGACAACATATAGTCATAGAGTCATAGAAATTATAGCGGAAAATTACCTTAACGAAAGGGCTTCCGCAATGTGCAAGTGTAACCTTTCGGGCACAACTGTACCCGCTTGTAAGCCACTTGTAGTGGCGTTGCCAACCTGGCCCGAAAACAAAAGCAATTAGATGTCGCCAACTGGCTGACTGGCTGGCTGGGATCTGGGATTGTGGATGTTGCCGCAAGAGGAAGTTGAAACGAGCGGGTTAACTGCGGGCTAGATGGTGGGGGTTAAATGTAATTGCAAGTGTGATTGTGTGTGTGTGGTAAGAGACCTGGTAAAAAGTTTGCCAACGCGATTTCTTGGTGAAACTATAAATTCACAAGCCACAATCATGGCCGCTGTGGAGACGCCACTGTTATGTGCGCCATCTTTTTAACGGAATGGGTGTTGCTTGGCAGTGATGTGGCAAATAAACTGGTTGCATGTACCTGAGTAGGTTATTAGCTTAGAAAGTTGAATTTTTTAAAAATGGAATGAGGTGATTTTCGTCACTAGTATTTTTAGTATAAATTTTGAACATGCTACTGATTGGGTCATTAGCTTAAAAAATAATTATTTTAAAATTCATTGTAACGATTTTCATTACCAGTATTTATAATACATATATAGTATATTTGGCTGTGATGTGGAAATTAAACGGGTCAAATATTAAAAATTATATATCTAATTAAAAATTTTAAACATACATTATAAATCTAATATTTTATCATTATTTTGTAGATGATTTTCGAAACTAATAAATAAATTTAATAATAACAAGTTTAATAAATTTAAGATTGAAGTCGAGGTTTTTTATGTGATATATTAGAGTTTCATAATATTTAATTATTAAATAATTAAATTTGAAAAATAAATTTTATTAATAGTGATGTCTGAGGCCATACTTTAATAAATTTCATAAAAATTCCAAAGACCAGTGCTCCTGTGTACCCAACTCTGCCCTGTCGAGGACATCACTATGGATGTTTCTCTATGCGTGGGTCTGGAAAGAGTGTATTAAAAAGCGTTCAGGTAAACTGGTATCGTGGTGCCTTCGTGTTACCCGTCCTTTGGCCACAAGCTGACAATTTTCAGCACTTGAGCGTTTATTTCACCGGCTCTGGTTGTTGCTGATTTTTATTGCCCATCGTTGCTTTTGTTGTTTAACGTTAGTTTCAAAAACTTTACCACTTCCTTGGGGTCTCGTGGTGGATGCCTGATTGCCGGGGGCTAACATTTCTGGTTGTTGGGGCATTTATCTCCGCCTCCGCCCTGCCTCCACTACCTCCATGGCGTTGTCCTTAAAGTTTGGTACTCGACAAATCCCGGAATGGATTTTAAGTGGAATAAGTATAATGATCGAAATTATTCAACGTGTGCGCTTTGTGTTTTGGCTTTCGTGCCTGGTTTATGGTCTTGGCTTACGGCGGAACAATTGTATGTTTATGACAGGTTTAGATTCCGGCTGGCGTGGGAAAACCAACATATTTATCTAGGTCCTTTTAACCGAAGCTTAAGGTTGCCAAGAGAAACAGATTTGGGGATTTGTAGTTTAAAATAATAGGCTTGGTAGGAAATTCAAAATTTTCGTTTTATTCAAGGCTCCAGTCGGCTGGCTTCTCATTTCGAATGTCATCTCCAAATCGTTTGTTTATTTTTAATCATTTTTTTGAGATCTTACCATTCAATACACTGTTATAAATATTTTGGATTTCATACTATTGGCAACACCATGATCCGCAAACCTGTCTGGCGTTTTAGGATCCGTTTCAACGTTAAGAAGTATGGTAAAAAATGCGATTGTTCGAAGGATGGTGGCACCTGCGAATGCGGTCCCGACTGCCCGAGTCCACAATGCCAGGCCAAGATTGCCTTCAAGCGTTTGGGCACTAGTCCCCGAAACATCCGGGATCACCCCATTGGATGTGTACCCCAGTTCTTAATCACGGATGCCTTCAAGACCCCGAAGTTTATACCGGCATCCACGTATCGAATTGTTCAGCCCGACGAACAAATCGGCCCAAAGGCGGGACGAAAGGAGGTCTACAAGAATCCGGAGTACTATAGCTATTATCGCTTTTCGTACTATGATATTAAAACTGTCGTCAGTAATATCAAAGACGAAATGTCAGCCAATAAATCGAAATAGATACAAATTTACAAGTAATTCGAAAGTGAACTATTTATATATTCAGTTTAAAAACAAATTTATTTTCAATTAAAATTAAGAATATTAATGTTTAAAATGGCAAAACTTGATTGGTTGTTGTGGAAACCCATTTGGAAGCCTTGTGCAACAGCATCCAGTACTCCAGTGCGAGTGAAGAGACCCGGCATTATGACACTAATCGTATTAGTGGGTTGGTCGTTAGTTAGGCGCTGCTATCTGCCCCAAATGCGATTTCCGCACAATGAGCTGCTCCTCCTCGCCGTATGCCCTGGCTCCCCGGAGTCTCGTTTCCTCGTTTCCGGATTACGTGCGCCATTTTTCGTACAGGTGACATAATGATCCGGACTCGCCAGCGCCTCGCAATCGTAGATAATTAGAGAGGGGGACCGGGTGCGAGGACTAAGGCCGAAGGACGAAGCACTGATGCTGGAGTGTGTACGGAGTCGGACAAAAGACACCACCGAGACTTTGTAATTTAGCAAATCGGTTTAGCAAGTCATCGGGAATAGAAAGGACATCCTCCAGCCAGCACGCCTTATTAAATTTACAGACATTAGGCTCTTACTTACACTTGTAGGTAGAATGTTCACTACTTGTCGCTGCCAGGTGGCTAAAAAGATGTCCTGATCCAGATAAAATGCGTTTCTTGGTACTCGGTAGTAATAATTGAAAATTTCAGAGGGTTTTCGGGCTTGGGATGGAGTCTCCAGACCAATCCCATTCACACATCCCATCCGGCAATTTATCAATTTTAATCGCATGCAAATTTTATGCAGGTTCTGCCATAAGACCCCGTCGACATTTGCTTTCGTTACATAACTTTTCCGGGAGAGAGGGTGTGTGTGGGTGTGTGTTAGTTTTGTTAACAACTTTGGGCCATTTCGAAGGCCGTTCTAACGGCTTTTGCTAATCACATGGCACTCTTTATGATTACGACCTCCTCCTCCGCCTATCCAGTCATCTGGCAGGACATTTGCATTTTGGCAGCATAATTTTTGCTGTATTGTTTGGGCCAGTAAGCCACTAACATGGCCAAAGTCAAAACATTTGCATAATTAATGAGTTATGTGTGGGGTTCTAACAAGTTGGAAGAAATAAGAAACTAAAGAAATAAGTTACTTGAGAAGTTACTTGAGAACTTTATTGATCAAAAAGACCGTAAATTACAGATCTAAAAGATAGGCAACTTTGTATTCTTTTAAGCTCCTTTTTATTTTTCGTCCTAAAAACCAAAGTACCTATTTTATTTTCACAAAACCAAAACTGACTTGACATTTTTTCCGCATGTCTGAGAATGCCAATTTACTTAGCTTTTTGAAAAAAGTATGTGTAGGTAACTAACGCTAATTTCCGCCCTGTGATTGATCCGAACACCTACGCCAATGAGGCAGGTGATCCATCAAGGTAGACAAAGGCCCTAAAAGGTTTACGAGGGCGCGTGTGTGGATAAAGTCTGGGAAATGCGCTTATCATGTAACGCTTAACCGTGAATTGACTGGAAAAGTTCAAAGATTATGCATTTAATTTGATGGATGGGATGGGATATACATACATAGCACCTCACATACATACATAGTACTACATACAAAGTATCAACCTTAAAGTGAAAATGTATTCCTCAACCACTAGCTCAGAAGTTTTTGAAGCACGTATCTCCATGGCAGTAGTTGCCACACACGTAAAAACAAAATTGCAAATAAATTTTAATTGTTTTGAGCAATTAAAAATTAAATTTAAAAAATGCTACAAGGAACAGAACCCTATCCAAAAAATGAGAAGCACACACACACGAATATTTCAGTGCTTATTCAATTTGGGAAAATGTTTTGAAACTACGTGAGAGTGTGTGCTGCTGCTGCTCCGGCTAAACAAATTAAATTAGACAACTTTTATTCATTCGTTTGACATTTTTATTTGTTTTCAAACTCATTTTGGAAGAGCAAAGGCTGTTGGCAGGACAAAACAGGACAGCGCAGCACAGAACGGTACCGAACAGGACACTGGAGAGGCCAGGATGAGGACAGTCGAACAATTAACAACAAATACAATTTTCAGAGTTTAGTTAAAAATTTTAGCAACTGCTCCTGTTTAATTGTTTCATTTTCCCTCAGCTACCCCGTCAGTCACGATTGTGAGGATTTAATTAAATGTCATTTGCATAAATTCTTCCTTCCGGCTGGCTGGCTTTTTCCTTTTTCCGATACTAGAAGAAGGCATTGTATGAAACACAAAATTATATATAATTTATGGCACTTTCTTTGTTATACGACAGGGGCTTGGGGAAGTTATCAAAAAAAGTGAAGATAACCAAAGCTTATCAATAGTTGATAGCTATCAGAGTAAATAAAAATTCTCAAAATTGATAATGTACAAGATGACACTTGTTTCTGGTTGGGTTTACAATTTATTTCATTCGTATTGTTCATGAGAACAATACACTTTATAAGGTTAAAAATACACATACATATTTATAAAATGTGACTATTTAATCACTTGAACTGACCTGAGAAAACAATTTATTTTATGGCTCTTCAGCTGCACTCAAACGCGAATGACAAGTGTCTGTAAACTTACCCTGATAAGTCGCAATATGACTCAAACAATCGATCATTTTGATTGCCATCGGAACCATATCAATATCAGTTTGTCTTTCGCAGGGGCAAGATCGGACATTCCCCTCAAAAAACTCTCCGAAATATAATATCTTATCAATAATGCCACTGAAGTTTCCCACAATTTGGCTGCCTGTGCTCCTGTTTAGTTGCCATTTGATGGCGGAAAGTGAGTGCTGTTTTAGTTTCATTTTATAGAAAAATACGCTTATTAACTATGTTTTTTAGTTCCGCAATGTTTTCGTTTTACGTGGATCGGGGCCTATGAGAATCACTCAAATATTCAATCGGAAACCTGTGACACCAGAGTGGGAGACTTTAATGAGATCCCCTGTTCCATGCCTCTGGTGGTGACTCGTGGGTTTTTAATTATAATTATTTAAGGCTTATCTAACCACTTGATTTTTATAGCCGATGACACAGTGCCGGATGTCAAGGCCTTGTGGCAGAACCAAACAGAAGACCGTGAAAAGTTTCTCTGCCAGATGTCTGCTGGGTTTTCTTGCGTCAAGTTCTCGTACATTTTCAAAGGTGGCAGTAAGTTTTCCCCACTCATATCATATGCCAAAGACCCCACCATAATCCTCTGCTTCTTTCAGTTCAAAACATCACCTATATGGCCGCCAAGGTTAATAACACCAATGGCTGTTTCACCCAGACTTATGAGAATGGCATGCAGGTGGAGGCCTGTGTCTGCACGTCTAGAGTCGGCCTGATACCCTGTAATGGCTCGGCAAACAATGGACCAACACTTGTAATGGGCTGGGCACTGTGTTTGCTCGGCTCTTATCAATTGCTCAATAAATATCGAATAGTTTGAGCTGACAGTGCTTTTGACTGGCAATGTAATGTGACATTTCCGGGCTTTTGATTTTGACAAGTTTTTGCGAAATTTATGGGCGGTCGCCCGTTTATTTTTGGTTTTTTAATGGCCACTTTTTGTGGCTAAATAAACTGCCATAATTTATTTGCTCGGCCATTAATCAATTGCATGTGGATGATGACAATGACGTTGCTGACGCTGCCGGGCAATTTGCATTCCTCCGCAGATGTACTGTTTTGTTAAATAAATAAACAAAATTTTGCCTATAAATCAAGGCGAGCTATTTTTTGCGGAGATATAGCCCGTTTTAATCCATGACACTTGACTTTTTGCGGGTCATTGAATGGCTCACCTAATTTAAAAAAGAAGCAATTTAAGCTTCATTAAATTGAAAATTGCAATGATAAAATCCTCTTGAAAGGCTCGAATACGAGCCTTTGTCGGATTTAATTGTTAAACATGGAATACTTTAAATAAATAGCCAACGAAAAACCAACAATAGAGCCGGCTCCTGTTGGGACACACGGCGTATGATAAATATAAACCGGAGTGAGAGGAAGACTGCTCTGGGTGGGATGGGAAGTCTCTTCCGATTGGGAATGCCCATCGGCACAGCCGGGTTCAAATAAACTAATTTTAATGCCTTCCATTGTGGCCAGAGCACGCAGTGCGGCTCAATTGGGATGCAAATGGCAGCATCAGATTGGCAAAAAGGGGAACAGAACGGCAGAATATTTTGGGGTGGTATCGATAGGGTTGAACTACACTCCATACTGGTCTGGACGGGACTGGTCCTCGCACAAGATATTCGCATATTTATTTTTTATATATGCGGCTTCTTTTATGCAAAAAATGTCCAGGCGAAACCTCCAACAGCCATTTGTAAATTATGCCATTATGCATGTGTGTATCAACACTTGAAAGCCTGTATATTGGGTGTTGGGTGTCTTTATTGGGTGTATAAGGTAAAAAAAATATTTCATAAAAATTCCTCAATTGAGACTCTTTTTTCAGCGAAGAGCATTAATTGTATCAGTTGGTATCTCTCTGCGAAATCGTATCTGGGAACAGCATAATAATGCAATTTTCACAATAAACGAAAATGCCAAAAATGCAATTGAGCTATGGAGCTATGGTAGGGGCTGGGGAATAGGCTATGGATTTGTATGAATAGGCTCCAGTCTTCCACTTTAATTTGGCAGTTTTATTTATACATAAATCGCAGCCAATATAAAGCTAGATATTAAGTTATAAGACATTCTTATAAATAAAATCTTAAAAATTATTAAAATTAGAGAATTTTAACCCTCACCAAGAAGTAACCTTTTAAGGCTTATATTTTCAATTTATTTCAATATCATTGCCGATTTGATTATACTGCTGAAACGCACTGTACTATCCTGTGGCAAATATATTCGATTTATGCATGTATATATGCATTAAGCGAATCATCCGATTGCCAGGCTTATCATCCACTGGACTGAAGAGGGGCAGCAGTGTTAAAAATAAATAAATAAACATAATTTGTTGTTGCCAATTTATTGGATGGTGTCCTATGCTGCCCATGCCAGGGTATTGGTTGGGCGGGGGTACTCCTAATATTATGCCATGTTTATGCACTGTCCAAGTTGTTGTTGGCCGGCTATTTGTTTAGCATTTTGCCCAGACAGTTTTATGTACCGTTAGATACGGAGGCAGTGGCAGCCAACGCCTCGTATACGCAATTTCTAGTTAGATCGACCATAATTTATTTGTCTGTCTCGCTGCTTATTTAACAAGCAGCAATAGCAATACCAAAAATAAAGCCGATGATAACCGAAATGTGATTAGCTCTAAAATGGGTAGACTGAGAGATAAGTTGTGTTCCAAAATTGATTGTTTTGCGATTTGATTTGGCATTTGTCTAATCCCCGAATGTATTGCCAGAAACTTGAATTTGAATTAAATGAATTTCTAGAATAGCTATATATACTTCTTTATCCTTCATTCATGCTCACCACATACGCTTAATTATTCATTCTCGTTGATGTTTTTTTGCCTGTCTCTTCGATGCAATTGCAATTTTCAAATGAACCGCTCTGCTGTGTATTTATTTTCACCGTTTTTTTTTTTTTGAGGTTGAGGACAAAAACAAGAACGGGCCAAGGAAACCGCAAAAACCGCAACGAATTTAGCACAATTCTTGACCAAAAAACACAAGGCGGGGGGCACGGAACTATTCCTGAATCGAGTGCATTTGAATATACCGCCGGACAGGCAAGTGAAGCGTGACAGTCGAGGCGAGATGGCGCAAAAAGTGGCCAGGACACTGTCACAGTGGCCATCGAATGCCCCAAAAAGTATGCAATACCACAGCCAATATCAAGTATACGCCGCGTGGCAAAAGGCATACCTCTGGCCGTGCATTATATGCGCACATGCATTGCTTTCAAATCGAAATGCAAATGAAATCCGCCACAGAGAAGGTTCTGCCGTTAATTGGCAATTTATAGCGGAGTTATCCCCACCCAGCCGCAGCCACGCCTCCTCCATCGCCTCCAGATCCATTTTCACGTGTTCGCTCAAGTGAAAATTATCATTTCCAGCGAAACTAAATCTCCAACACCCACCTCCACTACCAAAAAAAAACACACACAAAAGGTAGTGCTAGAAAAATGTACATTGGGAGTGGAACGGAAGTCCAGGGAAGAACACAGTGGAAGAGAACACTGGGAAAGCCGCGCAAAAGTCGACAAAAGTTTAGACGGGGACAAACCGTCCGGGCCGACCACAAAACAGGGCCAACAGCTGCCCCCTCCCCCGCTCTGATTCCGAAGCGACATCACAAACGAAAAAGTTGTTAAATCATTAGACTGCAGCGAAGATGCTCTATTGGGTTATCATTAAAAGCAAAGGACGTTTTTATGGTAGTCCAGTTAACACTAATTAAATAGAGCTATGTATGTATGTGGGGGTATAGGGATTTAAAAGAACTATTCTAAAACAATGTCTTAAAAACAGTTTAGAATATTTTGATAAATTTCAAATGCACGTTAAATGTAGAAATAAATTTCTTTTAAAAAAGCATCCTTTTTGCAAGCATATGCTTCTAGAAAAGAAAACTTTATCTTAAATAAACAAAGGGGGATAAACCTTAAGAATCTTAAACCTCAAATATTTATGATTATCAGAAATCCTTTAACTAAAAACCCACAACAAACCATTAACTCAAAGTACTCTTCAGTTACAGGGTATTTAGCATGAACCCAACCAGCGATTTATCGCATTTTGCTGTGGTCGGCATTAGTTACGCTGAATTTTATCACAATTGCAATTCTTTCTAGTCCCGAACCCCCGCCACACCAGTCGCCAAAAAAAAAGGATTTCATTTTCATTCATCCCTTTGGTTTTCGCCTTTCGGTTCTTGGTCTCCAGCCAACAAACCAGGCCGTAACCGAACCGCTCCCTTGGCAACTGCCCGATTCTGGAAACGGCTAGCGCTAATTTCCACGTGCTGCCTTTAAATAATCATAATTTGGACTTTTGTGAATGGTGTGGCGGCAACCGATGCTGTAAATGATTAACGCTACTGGCGGGATTTGCAGGATTACTAAGGGGTAAGGGCCTTGAAGCACCCAAGTGCCCTCTGCCGACTGACTTGCATATTTTCAGGCCTGATTGCTCATTAGCAAATTCATTTGGCTGCACTCCAGCCCCAAGGGGAAGTGCCGGACTTATCAGTTTAGAACGCATTAAGTGCCGAAGGAAAATACTTATTACAGGACGAGAAAAAAAACGAACAAGTTATTCTCTATTTTATAATTAAATGAAGGTGTTGTAAGGGATAATAACTTAATTAATTAATAAATATTAAAATATTAACTAAAATAATTCCAATATTTTTGAAGCCATATTTTATAGCTCTAATAACTCACATTTTAAAGAGTATTTCTCCCTATTTGAAAATTATAAAAATCCTAGAAAAATTATCATTTTGCAGAGCCTAATGACTTGTGCAAAATGTCCTCGTATTAAGATACTTGCCACACTTATATAGTAGGACAGAATGGAGGAAGGGAATCTTTGGAGTGGCAGCCATTTCACGAAATTGGTGGAAATGAAGATGGGACCCAAATGTCCTGGCTGGCTTAATTGTCAAAAAATTCAAGCCAGAGAGAACTATGCAAATGGACCACAAAGCTGCAGGGCTGGAGGATAGTTGATGAGCTGAGGGATGAGCATTAACCCAGTTAACCCATTAAAGCCGTGTCATAAATTCAAAGCCACAACAGGGTAACACCAACAACGGGCCACTTTTGCTTTGTGGCTCTCGGCCGGGCCAGGCCTGGCACCGTTTTTCGACTCATTAAAGCCAACTTCACGCAATTAGGCTAATAAGCCCTCGCCCTCGCAACAGCAACAGCAACAACAACAAAAGGGATGCCCCCAAAAGCAGGGCCAGGCCAAAAAGAAAGTGAGAGAAGGGAAAAGGCGACGGAGAAAGGCCAGGACCGTTAAATATAAAACACTTTCTTGCTGCCATTTTGCACTTTCGCTCAATTAACTGACCCGAGTGACATTTGATGTGTGAAGGTTTAAGGTTTTGGGTAACATAAGGGTAAGGTAATTATTACATAAATCTCGTTAAAACAATTCTTAGTGGTAGTTCCTAAGAATCCCTATCCTCCTAAAATCATAATCCTTTTAAAATTATTATTTTTTTAATCCTTTTATTCTGTGCAACTGGGAGCCGACTCACAGACCTTCTAGTCGATTCCATTGGAACAATAAAATGTAGTCAGTTGCCTTTAAAAACATTCTCCATTGTCCTGCATCTACTCCATCGGCGGATTCCTTCTGTGAGGCAGCTCCGGCCGCCCAGCGAACACTAAACAACAAATTTTGGACAAGAAACCGGACGAGGACACGGACATTGGGGGACAGATACAAAAAAAACTTAATGTCATACGAAAAATGAAACGAGAAACGGAACAAAGAACATTGAGGACGTGGAAGCGAGCTAGCCAGATGCCAGATGTCCCATCCCAGCGATCCCGTCCGGCCGGGCGATCACTTGCTGTCCGGACAGGCCATCTGGTACAGAAACTGGATGATCGTGCGAGTGGGCCTCCCGGTCATGCGGTCCTTCAGTAAGTACGGCAGCGGATTGTGTCGCGTCAGCATGCCCACATTCCGGATATCGATGTGGGCCCAGTCCACGCACGGCACCAGCTCGTGCAGCACGGCAGCGGCTATACAACTGGAGGCCGGGCCGCGCCCCCTATTGCTGATGTCGTAGGTTAGGTTCGGGGTCACCAGCTGCTTGAAGTAGCGCCACAGGGGCAGACGCCAAACGCGATCGCCAGTCAGTCCGCCGGCCTTCTCCATCTGCTTGGCGATGAAGTTCGAATTGCTGAACATTCCGGCAGCTGCTCCCCCGAGTCCGGCACAGACGCCATAGCCCACGGTGGCCAGGTCCACTACCAGTCGCGGCTTGAATGTCGTCTGGGCGAAGAGGAGCGGATCGGCCATCACCACCACACCGGCCTTGCTCACGTCCACGATGCCCATGGTCTTTCCGTTCAGCAGAGTGACCACATCGCCCGGCTTCACGGCCATGCCGGAGGGCATGTTCTCGCACAGCGGCAGGACGGCGGTGATGTTGATAGGCAGCGACAAGGCGGCCGCTGCCCGGATGGCGGCCACACACACCGCCGCCCCGGCCATACATCCCCGGTACATGTGCAGGCAGTTCTTGGGCCGCAGGCACAGGCCTCCACTGTTGTAGGTCAGCCCCTTGCCCAGGAGCAGGATGGGCTTGTCCTCCGGCGACGTGCCGCAGTAGCTGACCTCCAGGACGACGGGTGGCTCACAGCTGCCCTTGGCCACCATCAGGAAGGAGTTCAGGTGCTGCTGCTCAATCCAGTCCATGGTGCGCACCTCCACAGAAACACCACACGGGCACAAAGCGTCCACCGTCGACTGGGCAAAGATGGTGGGGGTCATCTGGTTGGCGGGGGAGTCGCTCAGTCGCCGAGCCAAGTTCTGGGACTCCGCCTTGAACAAACCCCTCGTCCAGGCATCCACATCGGGCGAGTCGTAGAGATCCAGCTTGGGGATGTGGGTGCGGTTCTGTTTGCGCTTGTTGCTGTTGTAGCGCCAAATGGCCAGAGCACTGCCCTCGGCCGCCTGCTCCGGGTACTCCATGGAGTCCACATACACCTCCGTGCAGCCCTGGAGCTGCAGGGATCTAGCTCCCACGCCAGCGGCTACGCGGGCGTTCTCCATTCCCTCGTCAATCATCTCCAGGTCATTGAAGCCGGCACCCTCCTGGCCGAGTCCAACCACCGCCACCGCCCGGAACTCGGAATCAACATTCATGAAGACCTTGCCCTTGGCCAGCTCGCCCTTGAGTCCAGTTTCGCGTATCAGCTCCGAGATCTTGCCCGAGGTCCGGTCATCGAACTTCTCGCCGCTGGACGTCATCTTGGGATCCTTGTCACCCTCTTTGGCATACACACCCACCACAACGCCCTTGATGACTGACTTGCCCTCGCACTTGTCCGCCAGTCCCCTGCTCAGGATGTGATAGTCGTACGGACGAAGACCCTGGCTCAACAGGGGTCCACCGCCGGCCAAGGGGGTGACCGGCCGGGTGACCTGCACCCTGCGATACAGGTTGACGTTTCGGTGGAAGGCGTTCATCATGCGAGTGGATGCCATTGGGGACTACACGCTCTCTGGTTACGGGTTACGCCTTCTCGACCAACTATTCAGTCGAGTTCCTTGAAGAAGACAATTAAACCAAATTTATTTCCACGTTGCTCCTGACAATTTTGGAATGAATAACAAAGTGTGTTCCTTCGTTGGGATGAAGGGTAGACTAACATGACAGGAATCCCAAATATTGGGACATTGTTCGGAACGCCAACTCCGTTCCAGTTGGCTGTTCAATTTCTGACTTAGATCCACAAAACCATCGTTCTCTTAGTTTTAAATTTATTTTATTTTTCAACTTAACTAGAAATCAGGGAAAGGAAGCCTCACTCTTCACTCCTCGTCCGAGTCGTTCTGGTTGGAGGGCTTCAGGCTCCCGAAGACCTTGGCCGGAATGGCCTTTTGTTCGAAGCGCAGTTTCTTCATGATCAGGCCCTCGCTGTCGGTTTTTGTGGCCGTTTCGGTGGCGTTCTCGTTTGGTTCGTCTTCCTCCTCCTCCTCCTCTTCGTCCTCATCGCTCTCGCCGAGGTCTATCTCGTCGGGATTGACCACCGTGTTCTCCTTGTTCTTGGCCCCACCCTGGGTCTCACCGCGCACAAACATGATATTGGAGGCTGCCTTTTCGGGGGGCTTCTGCTTGGCCTCTGCAGCCGCCTGTCGCGTCTTCTCGTCCAGCAGGCGCATGGCATCCGGCTCGGCTCCATTACCAGCTCCGCCATCGGCAGCTCCGTTGTTCAGGAACTGGGCGGCCATCATGTTGACCTGGGTGTTGTAGGTGGCTTGCACGGAGCGCTTGATGCGCAGCATCTCCCGCATCGTGTCCTCGTTGCCGTGTCGCACCTCGAACTCCTTCCAAGTCTGCCAGAAGTCAGCGGTAATGCGAGGATCACAAACCTAAAAGAAACGGTTATGGGTTGATTTGGAGGATCTTAAGAGGAAGAATGAGTGACCCTACCTGCGAGCAATGGGCGTAGATGGCTCGGGCTCGATCCACCTCACCCAGCTTGGTCTCCAGCTCTGCAAACTTGACGCACATGTGCCGCATGTGCTGCTCCGGCAGCGCTTCGATGGCCTTCTCGTAGATCTCCCGGGTACGCGGCAGACCATAGATCTCTGCCGCCTTCTTCACAAAGATGTTGTACATGTCGAACATCTCTTCCTCCTTCACGGCGGACGTGGCCCGATCGTAGACTGTCATGGCGTGCCTGGCAAGGCCATGCTGCTCCTCCAGCTTGGCGTAGAGCAGGTAAAAGTACTTGGCGTGCTCGGGGGGGCAATGGTCCAAGCACTGCTCGAAGAGATCCCTCGCCCGCTCCAGCTTGGTGCCGCCGTACCGCTCCAGGAACTTGGTTAGGTACGAGTTCCATATGTCATACACGTTTGGCCACTTGAACAGAGCGATGCCCTTCTCGTAGGCGCGATAGGCTTCCTCAAAGTAGTTGTGCTCCTCCAGGAACATTCCGTAGTTGATTATGATCTGCGGAGTACAGATCTTCAGATCGATGATCCGCTCGTAGACTGCCTTGCACGTCTTGAACGTGCCGAAGGACTCCTCCAAGTCGGCGTACATGGACCACACCTTCAGCGATCGGTGGAGCCGCGCCTGCACCGTTTCCGTGTCGTCGTGGTAGGCTATCTTCCGCTTGGGCATGGCCGTGGCCCGTTGCATCAGCTTCAAGGCAGCCTCGAACTGCTGCTGGCGCAGCTCCATCTCAGCCCACTCGCACCACACAGCAGCTAGATCCTCGACCTTGACGTACTCCACTTCGGTGCCCCGCTCGAAGACAACGCGAGCATCCTCCACCTGGCCGTTGGCCTCGTAGAACTTGGCAAACTCCACCCAGAGAGTGTGCAGCTTGCCCACCGCCTGCTTGGGCTGCACCGTCTGCACGGCCTCCGTGTATGTGGAAATGATCTCGGCTGGCTTGTCCTCGTACAGAGTGACCCGTTTGTGCCACTCGTGGACATTGTGCGGATTCTGGCGCAGCAGAACACTATTGAGCAGCAGCAACCGTCGCTCCATTAGGTACTCGAACCGCGACAGCCTCAGCTCCACATCGATGTCATCCTCCTCTGTGGCTGTCTCACTCTCCGCCACCTGCTCCATGCGCTTGTTCAGGGACAACTCCTCGAACTGGGCGTACTCATCGAAGACCTGGGTAAAGTCTCTGACAGTGGTCACCGTTTGGATGGCTTCCTCGTAGATGTCCCTCGCCCTGTCGAACAGACCCGAGCGCACATAGTAATCCGCCAAGGAGTTCCACAGGTGTCCCAGCTGATCCGTGTATCGCCTCAAGCCGCCACGAATGATGGCATCCACGTTCAGGGAGTGCACTTTGTGGGGATTCTTCGAGATGAGGTCGCACAGCTCGTTCCACAGCTGGTGGTTGGACTTGCCATGCTTGGACGCGAAGCTCTCGTTATCCACAATGTTGGCCAGCTGCTGGGCAGCCTCATCCAGGTGTCCCGACTCCTGCAGATAGTCCACGTACTCTTCGGCGTCCTCGGGACAGAGTTTAAGGTAGCGCCGGTAGACGCGGAGCGCTGTTTCCGTCATGTCAAAGCGCCGGACAAACTGCAGATACAGGGGCCAGATTCTTGCGTGCTGCGTGACGGGAAGAGCTCGCAGCGCGCGGTCAAATACGTGGCGAGTTCGGGTGATGCGGCACTGCGACGTCATAAAGGCGCCGTAGTCCATCCAAATACGAGGCATTTTGTGCATGAAAACCAGAGACCGTTCAAAGGCGCTGTTGACCTCCTCGTACATGGGATCCGTGGGAATCTTGCCGCGCACCTGCTTTCTCCTTGTGCGCAAGTAGTTGTGCCAGATTTTGTAGCTGCCGGGCAGTTCCTTCAGAGCACGCTCGTACACCTGGTTCACGCCATTATTCGGAGCCTTTGCCTTGTGATCGATGTAGCGGAGCCAGTGTTTTACGGAGTAAGCGTTCCTTAGGATCTCCTCCTCGTACGGCACATCTTCCTCGTCCTGAAGGAAATACCGATGTAATTGTATGTCAGTTTACGTATTTTGCATTCTACTTACGAATTTTATTTCAATATTGAGGGCTTGACTCGTAGCCGCAGCCATTTTCGGCGATTTTTGATTTTCACAACACGAGAAAGCCGCAAACAAATTTTCATGCGCGTCTCTGCCGAGAACAGCTGATTGAAACAGAGATGCCAGATGGGTAAAACAGATGGAAAAGAAAATACCAGAAAAGTCAATAGCACTGACCAACAAAGTTGAACTTTTATTTCTTCATAATTAATTTTACTTTCTCTATAAGCAAAGGATTTAATCAAACATAATATATATAGTTAAATACTTAATTTTCTGATTTTCCATCAACATTTTCATTGTTGGGGGCTATATTGTTAAAAAAAAAACCAGTATTGAATGAGTAAAATGATTTTATTGAAATAATAGTGTTTAAAGATGTTTGTTTCTTTGATTAATAGATAAATTGTAAATTATTAAATAAAAAATAATAAGATGTTTGTAATTTTCCACTACTAACCTAGTACTTTCGTGCGATCTGGTCACACTGTCAGTCGTTCGTGAATTTTGTGGAAGCCCGTCTGCTGATGTTTTCGTCGTTGCGGCGGATTTTCTGATTCTCACTTGGTTCGCGAATTTCACCCAGCCTACGTACCGCGCTCGCTATATCGCCCAGCAACATAACACCGATCCGTGAAGGAGTTCTTTGTAAACAAATCGTAATTGGCCTGCATTTTGCATAATTTACGCAACGAAGGGGCAGCTGCGTGAGTGCGACCGAGACCCAAGACCGACACACAGACGCAAGAGAGAAAGAGAGAGGGCCTGAGGAGGCGCAGGCGAGTTGGCAGCCAAGAGGCGAAAAAAAATCAAAGTCTTTTCGAAATTAGTTGCGAGCCCCCTATAAATAGCCCAATATGACGCGCTTGAAACATTTCTCTTCATAGACCGATAACCAATAAACGAATATAACTAAATGCTCAGCTAGCAACCTCATATCCTAAGTGGTAAGAACAAGTAACAACTCGGCACACGTCATACGCATTTTGCACTGGTGTGAATGTGTATGTGTGTGTGTGTGTCTGTGTCATAAATTTTAATTTTTTGCATTGATTTTTTTTCTCTCTTTTTTTTTAAATAAAAAATTTAAATAGTCAGGCGACAGGTTCAGACTTGCCTGTTCGGCATTCCAATTGGTCCAGATAATCCAATTAGACTCGGTTCGGTTTTCTGGTCAAGTAGAAACCAACCCCCGGAAAATCAGCTTCCTTTTATGGTGTTTTTGTTGTTGCTGCAGCCCTTCAATCAGCTGATTTCGAGCCCAAAAATTTTCCACGCACTTGTGACCTGCTAAGCGGAAAATTTTCGGCTTTTTAGGTCCAGAGCGGCGCATCTAATGTAAACAGTAGGACCCTCGAGGAGGAAATCATTGCCGGTTTCAGAATAGAGTCCCCCACCCACCCCCTAGCGACCAACCACCCGAGTGACACAGTAAGCCTTGGCAGCAGTACCAGAGACTGGCTCTCAGCAGCTTTGAGCCGCTTCGAGTGCAGCTTTTTGCAGCCAGCGAAAGCTTTCTTTGTCTTTCGGCCAAAGAGTTTTCCGCCTGCCACGACCAGCTTGCAAAAATCACAGTACCATCCACAAAAAAGGGTATTATTAAGCAGACTTTGTAATGATTCTCTAATTTTGAGAAAAAGTTTCCAATTTAAGAAATAGTACTAATTAGTTGAATAAATGTTTGTCCAAAAGTATCTAACAGATATCTAACAATATCCACCTGCCATGGCAACCCATCAAGACTTCATCTGTATCCCACGAATACTCTGCCAAAGCTTCGTTTTGGCCAAAAGCAGCTTTTCCACGCTTATTGATTCAGTTTCTGTCTTCTTTCCTGTTTCTACTTGCAGCCAACAATCGACGCAACAACGCATATTCTTAAAAAAATAAAATAAAGTGTTAAAATTAAATAAATTTTAAATAATTCTTTCGATTAAAAATAGTGTTTATAAAAATCAATCACCATGGCGCGCATCAGTAGTTTGTTTTTTAATTCGTCTGCGAGTTTAGAGACTAAAAAACTTAATTGATAAAAATCAGAGTTAAATAAATAAAAGAAAGCTAAAAAAAAAAAGTAAAAATTTTAAAAAATAAATCCATTAGCTTGTGAGTGCAATATAGAGGATATAGACGTGAGATTGTTCCAGAAAAGTGCAAGAGAACTAGACATTCCAGCACTCCACTTGACGGGGGACTGCTTTTGAAACCCAAAAAGACCCAACAACGCTGACAAAGCTTCGGTTAAACTTTCTTCAAGACTCCAAGGGTTAATCGCCTAATGGCAAGTTCGCTCAACAAGACGAGACACAGGCGCAGACTGGCTGCGATCTCGTTCCTATCGAATATCTCGTTAGATGGCACCCACCGGGACACTAAATTTGGCGCAACATTCGGCAGCAGCCTGCTCTGCAACCATAATAGGAATCCAACCTCGCTGGGACTCGGCACAGGAGGCTATCATCCGCACTATCAGCAGCATCACCACCAGCGCAGCCACTCGGCCACGCATCACAACCATCAGAAGCGGCAGCAGCAGCAGCAGCACCAACAACCGCACCAACAACAACAACAACAACAACAGCAGCCACATTATCAACAAAACCAACAACAACATCAGCAAAATGGAGCTCCTTGCTCGCCGCTCCTATGCAGCGCCGATGTCCATATGGGCATCGATGGTGGCTTCGGTCTGGACGACTGCACCACAGCCGGCGCCGGTGCTGCCAGCGATGGTGACGGGCATTTTAGTGAAACTGAAAATATGGGTCACCACCTGATGAACGTCCTGCCAGCCAAAGCCGGCCAATCGGCGCCGGCTGAGCGACGCAACATAAAGCGCCCGACCTCGTCTGGCCGTCAGCCCCACCAGGCAACAGCAGCAAGTGCTCCGGCACCGGGCAGTGGCAATATGATCAAGCAGCAGAACCAGCTGCAACAGCGGCAGGCACGGGCCTGCACCGCCGGCAGTGGGGGATCGGGTGCCGAGAGTGGCAGCGATTCCGACAGCGTCAAGATACCGCTCAAGGTGTCCAATCTGGGCAGCGGCGGTGGCGTTACCGGCGGATCAGGGACAGGAGTGTCATCGGCCAAGCTACTACCGCTAAGGGAACGGTGAGTCACTGAAATTATCTATTAAAATTTTTATTTTCTTATGGCTGTTATATCACTCATAAAACCTTATAGCTCTATAAAATTAGAAATAAAATAAAATTTATACGGTTAAGGTCTATAAACCATGTCGGATCTGTTATCTATCGAGACAGAGTACTGGACTAAGATATAGGAGCTCTAATAAGATTCTATGACGTGGGAAACTAAGGAGCTACATCCATATATAAGAAATACCATCCAAGATATCTATTAATTAGTCTGAACCTCAAACACCTGAAGAAAAACCCGCTCTCTTGATTGACAACTGACGTCAAGTGCACAGAATTTTCCAACATTTCCTGAAAATGCTTTTCTTTCTTTAGCAACAATCCTCATCCCAGCTGGGTGAATCACTCTACTGGATCTCCCGGAATTCTAGCTCAATTCAATTAATTTTGTCGTCATAATTGGTGTCGGTTTTCCCTCCTGCCCCCCAGTTGATTGAGATTTCCGCCAACGCTTTTGGCCAATTGACACTTGGCTTCTAATTTGCTTACAAAAGTCTCAGAGGCGATCGAAAATGCTGCGTAAACCGTGCGAATTCAGAAACAATGAACTGAAACCCCCAACAACTGGCCGAGGAGGGTTTATTTATAAACGTTTTCTGAAATTAAAATAAATATTAAAATATTACCCCAAGATTTTCCCTATTTTCGTGTTCGGGGACTTTCAATGTTTGCACGTTTTTGGCGCCTGCTTGGTCATAATTAGAGTGGGCCTGTTGCTGTGGCTGTTGCTAAAAATACGCCTCGAATTTAGTGGCTACTGGTCAGGAGGGGCCAACTGCTCGATTCATTCATTCAACGACGTGTGCCAGCTCAATTAACGTGAATTAGAGAGCGTGCCCCGCAAAAAGCCAGCCAATTCAAACAACAATTGCATGCTGGCCCAGCGCGCCCTCTGTTTTTGAAGGAGGTGGTCGTTTAAAGGGGGTAACATGGTTGTTATGCTCTCAAAAAATAAATATTTTTGGTTGGTTTTTTCTTTTTATTTTTGAAAGATTTCTGGTTTATTTTTTGGTTATAAAGTAATATTGTTTGAGATTTAACTAAAAGTAGGAGAGCTTTTCAGGTAAATTCCTTTTTTCGGGTTCTTAAAGTATAAATTTCTTTAAAAACAATGTTTTTGAATCAGTGGACTCATTTTCACGTGAAATACAAAGCCAATTTTGATAAAAGTTCAAACTAATCTACGAGATACCAAAAACTAGTAATTAAACAAGGCATTTGTTCTTAAAATGTAATATTTTCATAAGAATTACAACGAAAATATTACATAGAACTATCTACAAAAAATGATTCAAATTTTAAAGCTCTTTTTTTACAAAATCATAAGAATTCTTTAACAATTTTGTATTTCTTTATCCCCACATCACCACAAAGTTGCTTATAAAAGTATATTATTTTATATTAAAAATAATTCTATATAAATATAATCATTTTTTTTGTTCATAAAACCCACATACCCCCTTAAATTGAAGCTTTTGTTGTGGCGTCGATGGTTTGTCACGCATTTAAATGACCTGTCAGCGTTACAATCGCTTTGTTAGAGTGTGTATTTTCGGAGGCGACAGGTGAATCATGGATATTATCTATCCAAGAGCCTAGCCAGAGTACACGCAACCGAATTGCGCAATGGGAACCGCTTTTGGCGGAGAGCGAACGCCAATAAGAACGCCAATGAAACGCTCGTAAATCGCTAGACTCGTAAACCTCCTTGAACTTCCGGCGGGGCCTCCTTTCTTTCTGTAATTTCTTGGCGGAAAGCTCTCGCCTCGTTGAGTGCTGCATCCCCAGGAGCTTTCACCTCAATGCCAAAACAAGTTACGTTGAACTCTCGAATAGTCGTTAGCCCAGCCAGCTACCCAGCCAGCTGCAGTCGTTGCGCTTTGACAAACTGACCTTGTTTCGTTGCAGCTTTGAATTTTTCAATTTTTCAGTCGCGCTCGGCCGACGTCTCGGCATTTTTTCTTCTCTAGCAACCCACTCGTTAGTGGTTTCGATTTCTTTTGCTTTTGGGGTGTCACTCAACTGGTGGCCTAACCCGTTTCGGGTCTAGGGTCTGGGAGGTCTCGGATGCATTATTATTATGGTTGTCATCTGAAATGCACTTGGACCCCGGCCAACTGGCTTTTCATCGTCCTGTCAGGGGCATTTGTTCTGGCAAATCATGTTTCCGTTGGCTAATTTGCTAACAACACGAAGAAAGCCAAATTAGTTACCTTATCGGATCTGAATGACCAATCATATACGGCAAGACATCTGATAAGATAGCTTGGAATAGATCTTGATATTCGGTTTTATTTGAGGGCCATATCGGACGATCTCTCAGCGGGGTTATCTTTGAACATGTGGCACTGATCGTATTTTTCTGAGATTATTTAAGCAATCGATAAGGCGATGTCAGGTGATATAATGGTTACTTAAAAACCCCAGCAAGTAGCTATAATTCTCCCAACATTCTGACTCACAGAAACTCAAACTTCTATAAATGTTATCCCCCCACAAAGTACTATTTTTTACCCACAAATCTTGGGTTTCATTCACAAAATAGCAAAAAGTCCCATCTAGGAATACTTTGAAACTTCAGCAGTTCGTAAACAAGGCACTTCCAACATAGTATGGTTTGTAAATACCCACAATTCTAATATTACTCTACTATTTCCGCTCTGGAATGGCTAGAACTATTATGACACTGTCAGCACATCCTCCTCAGTGGGCAAATTGTTGCAATGCCAAATATTTTGTTATGCGATATGGAAGGGATTCCTAACTTTCCTGCAAAGTGCTGCGCATGCTCGAATACCCCCCGAGTCCAAGGGCTCCTCCGGATGAACACAAATTGCGACGCAATTCGAAAACCAAAACAAACCACTTCAGTCCAGTTTTTGTTTTGAAACCTGAGACTGGTGGAGTTTGTTCCGATGAATGGGAACCGAGAAGAATGGACAAAACTTTACCGAAAACGTAAACAATTTTTTTATGTGGCAGAGATATTATAATCCCCTTTTGCACTTAATTTCCACAGAGGTTGCGTCATGGGCCCTTAATTTGATTTAATGCCTCTCCGAGGGGCAGCAAGCCGGCAACGCCAAAGCTTGACATTGAACTTGAGCTGCTGCCGAGCTTTCCTGCTGCCATCCTCCTTCTGCCCTCGGGGGTAAGGACAATGTCAATGTCAATGTCGAGGCTGCAAACCTGTCCAGGCCCCCCGTCTTGGTCCAAAAACTGGGTAACCTTGGGCTTAGAGTTTTATGCAATCGACGACGTAATAAGAACCGGTTTCCCTCGTTCTTGTTCTTGTTTATATTCGCATACGCACCACATATATATATTATATATGTATGTGTCTTTTTTTGCAACCCAACTTGTGCGAAAGGTTCTAATCCTGAAGCCTGACAAACAGGCGTTCAAGGTCGTCCAGCGAAAGGGTTGATTTCGAGGACCACTGATATGTGTGTCAGTAGAACAAAGAAATGCAAGATGCAGGATGCAGGATGCAACCCTAGGACTCCTAACTGGTCTAGCTTGTTGGGTTTGTCTTGAGGGGATTTCGTAAAATCAACACAGACACTCCCATAAAGCTCCATTTACACGCTTGTCTATCAAGAAACGAACGATAAGCTCCGCGCTGATAAAATATGCCACAGTCACACGAACGCTAATCCACATTGCAAACACAAATATATGTATTTATTGCAACTTCTTTGTTGGATTCGCTTAAACAGCGATATAAAACACAAAAGCCACTTATCATCCCAACAATTGCGACTTTATTTGCATATAACATATAGTATACATATGTATGTACTCGTCTAGCCAACAAGCCAACGGTCTGTGGCCCATCATATCTGGCCATTTTTCATTAATGTTGTGTCTGCCTGCTTCAGTGGCTTTCGCCACTATATTTGGCCATAAAAAGCGGATTGGTTTGGTTCTCCCATGTTTTTTTATTGTTATACTCTTGCAAAGGGTACTATTAAATGTTGGTTAAAAGTATGAAAAGCAGTGATAAAAATAAGTTTATATCTATAAGCAGATAGACAATGTCCTTCAGTCTTTTTTAATGCCTTTTAATTGCTCAGTTTTAAAGCTATACATTTTTTAGGATTTTTTTAAATTGCGGAAATGCTTACAAATATATGGTATAATGTTAAAACAATTTTTCTATTCGGGCCATTATAGCCTAAAGCTGCCATAGAAAATATTGGGTAATACTTTCCATTTTTTTTTAATATTAAATCGTTACTTTATATCCAAAAAGAATGAACTATTATAAACTATTAAAAATATTTAAATACTTGATGAACTATTTTATTTAAAGTTGTTTTTTTTAATCTACCAATTTTACTTCTATATTACTATATATATCATACTAGTAGTACACAAAAAACAAACTATATAATCCAAATATTAAAAAAAAATACATTTTAGTAGATTTCTTGGTGTTGTAGGGAGTTTAAGCCACGTTTAGATCGTTGAAAGACTGTTAAAATTGCTTACTTTACTACTTCTGAAACTACTTTACTAAACTGAAACTACTACTTCTACTTCAAAAACTTTAAATAATTACTCAAAGGGTATATAAACTTCTCCTTCCTTCTAAGTAACCTTCCTTTTCTTGTTTTATCTGAAGTTCCCCCGAATGGCTTTGTGACTTTTTTGAGGAAAAAGTGTGGATTTCATAAATAGCAAACTAGAGAGAATCGAAGCATACTTCTTAAAAAAAAAAAAAAAACAATCGTATTTCATTGCAAACAAATAATTAATTGCAAAATGTAGACCGGCCTTCGATAAAACATGTAAATATACACTATTTTGTTGCTATTCCGCTGGCCTTATGTAATTACTTTTGGCCTAAAGCTAGAAAAGTAAACAAGAGTAGCCGGAGGTCTTTTTCGGAATTCTCCTTTGTGTTTTCCGTTTGTTTACAAGCGTTTGTTCTTTTGTTACGCTCGCCTTTCCTAACACGATTATTGTTATTGTTATATATATGGTTTTTGCTGGTTTACCGCTCAAAGGTGGACCTGGGACCTTATCGAGGTGAGAAGAGGAGCTATAAGTTCGATTGATTACGGTTGCCCCATGTGCGTCATTCTCCCAAATATTATAGGGGACCTCAACAATCTCGTAGTGTTTTTTAAAAAACTCGTAATGCAAATGCATCTGTAATATTTTAATTTTTATTTGTTTTGATGGGCCACTTGAAACCCCGGGCACGTGATCTATTCAAATGGATAGTTATATAAAGAGTTGGCTTCCATTAACATCTGTTTGCTCGTACAGCTCGATGATAACACCAGAAACAACAACAACAAAACACAATGACAAAAGCCAGTTCTCCTGATAAAAGCAAAATTGACTCAGTTGATTTGATTGCTTCACCCAAACACAAACAAACAAACATACACCCATACTAGTCAACTTTTGAAAGCTTTCTGACACGATCTAAGATTGGTTGTGGGGCCTGGGCCTGGGAGGAAGGGGGGGTGAGCGGGGCAAACATAGCGCAATTAAAATATTTTCGATTCGGCGGTGAGCTTGATTTATTTGCCTGCTCTCGTGTGCAGACGCGAAAAGTATATTTGTTTAGGCGTTTAGTAGCAGTATTTCGGTCAATATTTGCAAATCAAAGAGATAGACTCTCTAAAGTACATCTGAAAATCACAGCTGGAAGTGCGGCCTAGATACTTTGGCAAAAGTATCTTTTAGGTTTCTATAGAAAAGGAAATAAAAATTTAGAACAAGGCTGTTTTGTAATTACCAAGCTGATAAGGGTTTATAGTTAAAGCCATGAAAACATAAGTCTCTGTTATCAAATAAACATTTCAAGGGAATTTTATCACATTTTTCTGGCAAACTTTAAAGCTCTTCCAACAGTTTTTGAAGTCGAATTTTTTAAACTTTCTCTTAAAGACTATTCAAGTCAATATATGCAAAGCGAAAGGATAGTTGTATCTTTATAGTTCCAAATACTGGCAAGTGTATTCAAAAGTAAATAAGTAAATAATAGAACAGCTGCTTTGTAATTACCAAGCTCATAAACTACAGTCTCTGTTATCAAATAACATAGTGTAATGTTTTCTTATCACACTTTCCTGTCTAAATTAAATCCTTTTCCAACACTATCGGTAGTAGGATTTATTATTACTGCCACTTTTACACTATTTTAGTGAATATTTGCAAATCAAAAGGAAAGTCTCAGCTGGAAAAGCCTTCCAGATACTTTGGAAAAGTCGAAATAGATATTTATTATCAAATAAAAAATATCAAAAGTATTTTAACACACTTCCTGCCAAACTTGAAAGCTTTCCCAACACTTTTTAAAGTTGAACTTTTAATATTGGTCATTTAACATTATTAACCATCAAAAAGGATAGATTCCTTCTAGTTCCAGATATCTCGGCAAAAGTGTCTTGATATTTCGAAAGAAAATTAAATAACAAAAAAAGAACAAGGCTGTTTAGAAATAACTCAGCAGCTTATCGCCTCCATAATCAAACAAAAATTTCAAGGATATTTCATCACACTTTCCTACCAAACTTGAAGCTTTTCCAACACTTTTTTAAAAGTACAAATTTCAATACTCTCACCTAAAATACCGAGTATTTTTGTAAATTGATCCAAAATAATGAAAGAATCTGAATATTGTTTATTTTATCACAGGAGCTCAGCTAAGACTGGAAGTAGTTCCCAAAAAAAAAAAATAGAAAATATAGAAAACCTATGGCATAAAAACACGCACACTTGCATCACTATTTTTTGGGTGCAGCCACTTATCTCTTTCACTCACGCACGGGGTCATTATCTCTTATCACCAGACACACAAACACACACATGCTAGTATCTCACACCAAACTCCATCTCTATCACGCTCATTAGCGAGTCAATACGAAAAACAACAAAAGCAAACGCATGAAAGTAAATGTTTGCCCGGCCCTTTTCCGCACAAACAAACACACACACACACACACATAGTGGGAAATAGGCAAACGCATTTATTTTGGAGTCTTGGTAGCTGGTGCTTCTTCTTCCTCTTCTTGTTCAGCTGCTGCCCCCCATCTGCTTAGAGTGGTTAGGAAGTAAAAATAACTTCTGGCTTGGCAACTCTGCGAGCCTGTTAGAATGCTCCAACTAATTAACGGGTTATGACAGCCTAGGCGCCGCCACCTCCATCATAATAATTCTCCATCAGAGTCCAGGGGGACTGGGGCCAGGGGCTTCTTGCCTGAATGGCAGAGCTCTGGTTGCACTTTGTCCGACTAATTAACGCAAAATCGTCACCTCGAGGATTACCCCACACTCGCACTCGGAGTTTTCCGGCTTTAACCTCGACCTAGACCAATTATCCCAAGGTAATCGGCCAGGCGCTCAGCCACCACAAAGACGTCGACTTCAGTTGGCTAATTGACTATTTTATGCTGCTTTTCTCGTATTTGTTGTTTCGGCTGGGCTGGCTGGGCTGCCTAGCTGGCTGCTTGCTTGCCCTTCAGCGCATACAATGCAGACAACACACTTGCTCACACATTGTATGTCTGTGTTTTTGTGTTTGATTTCCAAAAATACACAAAACAACCACAAACACACATCGCAACACAACAGCACTAGCGATAAGGCGGATCGCCCTTAGACCCCGCGTATACGCACAATGGAAAATCTTGGAGCGGTGCGGTGTCGGTGCGGTCTCGGTGGCGGTGCCTTCTTCTCGGCTCTGTTGCCCTGTGAAAATATCGATCATTGCATGAGGGGTGTGACGAGGCCTCCTGCTGATTAGCCAAGGGATGGATGGGGGTGATGCGGTTCCAAAAATAGCTGAATTTTTAGGAAAAAAAAATAAATATACTTATAGATAGGGAAGAAATAATATACATAGTTTTATACAAATAATATACATACCCAGCACTAATCTAAAAATGTTTTGATAAATATATTACAAGAAATACATTTTAAAATAAACTTTAGCTTGAGATTATTATGAAAATAATACCTAATACCCAGTACTAATCTTAGAAATATTAAAATAGAAATTCTTAAAGAAAATATTACAAAAAGATTTCGGTAGCTAGTTTCGAACTTCAGCTTGAGATTATTTTAATAAACTCACATTATAATAATAATATTCTAATATTATAATAATAAGCTTCAAATGATTATAAAAATAAAAATTATACCCAATACCCAGTACTACTCTCAGTAATATTTTAAAACAAATTTTTAAAGAAATTTTTGTAGCTAGTCTCGAACTTTAGCTTGAGATGATTATAAGAACATAAAATAGTAATTAAAACCCACAACTACTTAGAACTACCAAAACTTTCTAATATTTGAATTTAAGATTTAAAAGAAATAAATTAAATCAAAGAAATAAAATAAAGCTCTTTAGTTAGTTTTGAACTTCAGCTTGAAATGATTACCAAAAGCGGCTAAAAACTCATCTCTTGGCTCTTCGTTCGCATTTGTCATTGAATTTATAAATACCGAAAATAAACGTATTTCGAAAAAAGCAACAACTGAGAGGCGAAAAAAACAACACAGCCTTCAAGGTTCAGCCCAACGCGTTTTTGTATCGCTCCGCGCATGTTTTTCACGCTTCTCGGATTTTTGAGCGCCTGTTGCTCCTTAGATCGTTTTGATTCTAACCGATCTCTGATTCTTGGATTCTTGTCTCTTCCACAGAACCTTTAGCAATGGGGCCAGCGACCAGAACCTGCAGCCGGAGAGGAGGGCCCGTTTAAACACGGCGCCTGGTATGCGGGCGGGCTCCAATTCGAGCATCGCCGTTGGAGGAGGCCTGAAGCGTACTTATGTGCTGAGCGGGTCCAGTGTCAGTCATATTACGGATGACAGCAGCACGGAGAGCCTGACGCCGGCGGGCAACTTTGCGGGCAGCTTCCGCAACAGCCTGAGCAAGTCGGTGCAGATCAGTGATGGCAGACGGGGAACCGGAGCCCAGGCGCTGGGACTGGGTCAGGGCAGAGATGAGCGGATGGTGTTGGTGTCCCGCAAGGTGCCCTTTTTCATATTCTCCGCTCTGCCGTACTACAAGGGCAAGAATGGAAGGTGAGTTTTGGCTATCCTAAGCTTACGTAAAGGCAATTAATAATTATAATGTTTTCTATTCCAGGGCCGAGTTCCGCAAGGAGGATCGTCGTCGCAGGAACCCTTCCACTTCACGCCCCTTGAGCTCCATCAACGATGCACCCTTTGATCCTTTTGATTTGTTGGGCATCCAAAAGGCCGAAAGTGGTCAGGTAAGACTACTCTATAGAATAATAAAGACCTATTCTTAATAAAATTCGTACTTTCTTAGGACATCTCCTATGGCCACCTGTTGATACCTTCGCGTCAGTATGAAAAAGAACGCAAGAAGCATGGAAATGCCTCGACAAACCCTTCCATTTTCGAGAATCAAATGGAGATCACGAGTACAGCTGCTCTTAAGAACCACGGCATTGCAAGGTTGGTGTCGGATCTGAGTCGGTTTCCAGAATCGAGACCAGTTTCGTATCATTTTTGTACAACCCATTCAGTCAGACCCATTATGACCATTATGTGCCATTTGAATCATTCATTAAGATCTCATAACCGAATGATTAATATATAAGGTTAACTAAACAACGTAATCCTAACTTGTAATGGATGATATTACTTTATAATGTAGTATTGTAATCAGATATTCGAAGCCCAGTGTTTACATAAAGCTTCATTGTTAGCTCCTCGAGTTACCTGGTAATTGGAGAGCCTATCTTTGGCTCGTGTTGGGCCGAGGGGCCAGTTGGCCAGTTAGCTGACCAAACAAGACCTATTAATCTGACTCATGAAGAGCCGCTTGCTTGATGTTATCCAACAAATAGAGTATCTCTAAGTCAGCACATTTTTGGCTTTTATATAACACAGAAGTCGTAAGATCCAAACCGTATTGCTTGCTAGGCAAAAGATACTATTCGTAGTGATATTATTTTCAGTTATTATCTTTGTTTTGGTTCGGTAATAGTTGACCCAAATGAGAAAAAAAAAACCAATACCTTAATACATTATGTGGCATTACCTTTTGCTAATTCATTTAACGCTTTGCACTACTTCGTTTCAGCACAAAAACCATAACCAAACGTCAAGGCAAATGGTAAATTTAAAAAACAGCTAATAAGACAAAATAATTTACTGTCCAACCGCGCTATGGATTCGACCAAGACTCCGATCCATATCGTGGTTGGTTGCAAAAGAAAAAAAAAACAATAAATGTAAAGCTTTTAGTCCACTAACCAATATCACATATCCCAAAAAACACACACCCTCTGAATTTCACACACATCCCACGAACAACGATGATGCTTCAACTAACCCCAACCCGCCTTCTCACGCTCTACTCTAGAATTCCTATCTTCCTATATCTTGAAAATACTTTAAATCTTTTCCCCAAAATGTTCATAGGTGCTTCACGTATGAGAACAACAACCGGAACAGTGCTGCTAGTCCCACGCCAGACTTGAAACTGGACATGGACATTGAGAGCGTCATCCTGGGGGATTCATCTCGTGGGCAAGCAGTGAGTCTACCTTCTTTTTGAAAAATATCTCCTTTCTAAAACTCCATGTTTGTTTTTAGTACTCGGCCAGCATTTTGGATGATCCTGAACTGATTGCCGGCAAGCACCGCACCTTGCTTACCTTCACCTCGTACATGACATCCGTGATCGACTATGTGCGTCCCTCGGATCTGAAGAAGGAGCTGAACGACAAGTTCCGTGAAAAGTTCCCCACCATACAGCTCACGTTGAGCAAGCTGAGGAGGTGAGCCAAGATCTAAGATAATACCAAGATTAAAAACTAATTATAATATTGTCTCCTTCAGCATCAAGCGAGAAATGCGTCGCATCAACAAGCTGGACTCGCGCATCGACCTGGTCACCATCTCCCAGGCGTACGTGTACTTCGAGAAGCTCATCCTGGCCAACCTGATCAACAAGAGCAACCGCAAGCTGTGCGCCGGCGCCTGTCTGCTGCTCAGCGCCAAGATGAACGACGTGAAGGGCGAGGCCCTCAAGAGCCTGATCGAGAAGACGGAGAGCGTGTTCCGGCTGAATCGCAAGGAGCTCATATCCTCGGAGTTTGCGGTGCTGGTGGCCCTGGAGTTCAGCCTGCATGTCCATCGGCACGAGGTGCTGCCCCACTACCAGCGGCTGCTCTACGAATCCTAGGACTGGCCAAGCCGCTTCGGCGGCGGGGAAAGGAGTTTTCTGGCGGCGGCGCAGGCTGTGCAGCAACTAGTCCGCAAGGGCAGTCGCAGGAGTCGGCGAGGCGCTGCCTACTTTTCGGCGGGCGATCGTACTTAACCGCTCGGCCGTAGCATACTTACGGGTGTTGGGCTTTCAAACGATTCAATAATATTGCTAGATCTAAGGCGTAGCTACATAAGTTCTTTTTGCTAATGAAATACGGAAGACAAACAAAAAAAAATAACAAAAAAAAGAAAATAATTATATCCATAATACCCTTTTTCCCCAAAGGGTTCGTAGGCTCGTAAGTGTTTATGTTTTAGAAAAGTTATACGTATATTGCATACAATTTCTTGGGTTTCTGTTATAGACATTTCAAAAATGAATAAACTAAAGTTAACAAAAACGAATTAATTTATGCATTGATAAGTTAAGCGCTTATCGCACTCGCCCCTGTTGTTGTAACGCTGGTAATATTATTATTCAAATTTCCGCGGCGACGATCTCGGCCTATTGCCGTTTGCTGCTTGCCGCATGCCCAAAGCTGGCTAATCCGCCCCGACGGTTTTAAAGATCCCACGTTCACCCCTTCCAATGGCCCATGGGGGGCGGGGTGCCCCCTCGAATCAAATCGCATCGAGGGCCCATCAATCAGAAATCAATAAATAACTGACGATCGATTATTTGCCAGCGCATCAGGCGCTCAGCGACCAGCAACAGGTGGAGTGGCTGGAAAAAAGAAAAAGAGTTCTCTACCATAAACAAATACGGGTGCCGATAACCCAAAAAAAAGCGGGCTACGCACACGTGCCGTAGAATTGTAGGGGGGATCTGCGGGGGGTTGGACGTGCCATGCACATTGACTTTTCGGGCCTGTTACCTCTTTTGTGATAACGTTGGCTTTGTACGAGTATTATTGTTGGCTCGGGAAGCGTTTCGGGCAGCCAGCAAATGGGCATAGGTTGCTGCTACGTGTTTGAGTAAATATATTATATATTATATATGTACATATATGTAATGCAATGCAATCGTTTTTAGCCTTATCAGCAATCATTTTTATTTGTTCCCTTTTAGAGGTAGTGACTATATAAAGCTAAATTATACCCTAAACACAGCTTTAAATATATAAAAAAAAAGTTTTTGGTTTCGTTTTTCATAAAATACATTTTTTTTAACAAGTTTCAGATCATTCTAATCATATTTTCAATAAAACTTACAATTTAAAAGTATATAAGAAATCAACATTTAAGTCCATAATGTACCCTAATGTAATGTCCATAATTTTGAAAATTTTCAAAAAATAATTTTATTTATTATTTATTTTATTTGTTTATATTATAATACACATTTTGAAGTTACATTAATACATACTGTAAGGATCTTTTATTTCATTTTATAGATATTTCCATTTAAACTTAAAATTTCAAGTTTCAAATTCATTGTCAAAAATTAAATTTATTAATATCACTATTAAACATTTAAAAATTTAAAAAAAAATATTTGACCTATTTATTAAATAATACATATTTTGAAGAACTTTTAGATCATTTTATACATATTTAAATAAGATAGAGGTATACGTTATAGAGAAGTATGAGGGATTCATTATTTAAGTCTAAAATATACTCTAAGCGTTGCTTTAAAAAATTCATAAAAATAATGGGATTAATTTCTATTATAATACAAATTTTAAAGAAATTTCATAATATTTTATAGATATTTTAATTTAAAGTATGTACCTGGTAGCTTCCTTCCAATTAATTTACAATTTAAAAGATTTATCATTAAAATGTAATCAGCTAAGTTGAAACATTTAATTGAGGCACATTTGAGATTCAGTTCAAAAAAGCTCATTAGCAGAGTCAGATGGAACTGCCGGAGATAATGACATGATGGCATATCAGTGCCCCCACCCCCCAGAGCTTCCCCCCGCCGTCCTGCTCGATTCTCTGGCTTGCCACATGTAGCTGCATAATGAAAGCGCTCAAAACTAATTAACGCGAAAGCCGAGCCGGAACTGAAGGTTGTGGTCTCTCCCTTTGCCACGCCCCCCTTTCTCCGGTTCTGTCTCTATCGCTACCTTTCTCTCTCTATGCGGCCATTTTCGCAATATCTCTCACTCTTGGCAGAGAATGCTGCTCGACGGGTCTGTTCGCCTGACATTCACGTCTGGCGTTCGTCTAGGTCGCGGGGGTGGGGGTGCCTAACCCTCCCCCACTGCCACTGCCACCAGGAGGCAGAAACAACAAAAGCAGCAAACGGCAGCAGCAGAAACGTCCCCCGTTTATTACTCATTAGCACGCACTGTGCTGTCCGGAAGCCGGCCAGAAACAACAATAAATGAACGGCAGAAACTTTTGCACCAACTTTGGCTCATTTATTAAGAACAAAAGTGCACTGAGAGAAAAGATTTGAAGATTTAAATCAAATTAAAGAAAGAGAGAAACAAGTCGAGATACTTTTTAGGAAGTTAGAGATACTTTAGCTAGACTTTCCCTAGAGATACCAGTGCATGATCACTTTAATTAATTTCTCTCAGTGTAATTACACTCACAAGCCTAACGCAACGAAACTTTTTCATTAAAATTTCGTTTTCATTTATTAGACGTTTCTGGGTTTGCGTTTCTGGGGTATGGCCACCCCCACCCCTGCTGTTCTAGGCCACCCCTAGTCCATGTCTTGGCTTATCTTTTGTGGCCAGGGTTCGTTAACAGTTGTTAGTTAGTTGAGTAGTTAAGTTTGCCATTTTCCGCACACACACACACACACACGCACGCGTTGCTGATTGGAAAGTTCTTTCTCTGCTTTCCTTCCGGGAGCGGAGGAACCTTCTGCCATCCATCCAGCTGCTGTTGGTGCTGCTGCCATCAAGTCCATGTAAGGCTTCCGACGACCCCCATCGAACTGAGGGACCGATATACCATTTGCTGCTAGTGCTGCTGCTGGTGCTGCTGCTTCTACAGCTACTGCTGACGCGTTTCTTTTGCCGCTGCTACCGCCGGTGCTGCTTCTGCTGGTACTGGTACTGGTGCTGCTGGCGCCGCTGCTGCCCCTGCCCAGGCCCATGCCCCTGCCCCTGCCCCTGCACCCCGCACCGCGTCCTCCTCGGTCGGCGTCCGAGTTGCCTGTCGACTGTCTGTGGTTTTCTGAGCGCCTGCTACTATGCGCCGAGTTAATTGGTTTGCAAACAAATTAACCAACGTGGGTGTGTACGTTTCCTAATTAGCAGCTTTTGTAATTAAATATGCCCGCAGCCATTCAGAGTGGCAGTGGTGGGGGGTCCGGGTGCCCTGGGTGGGGTTTGTGGTTGACAGGGGGATGGGGGGTGGGGGCGCCAACAAACTATGTACATGTACGTGTGAGTGAGTGTGTACAATGGTATAGCGGTTCATACGGCTGGCAGCGGCGTCTCCAGCGGGCAACTTCACTCAGCTAATGAGCCCAGACAATGAGAAATCCCTCTTGACTGACGCCCCTGTCAAGTGGATTCGAAGGAAGAGGAAGCTGCGGGAGAGAAACGACGGGGTGGTTGGGTGGGCTGGGGCTGGGGGAAGGCACTCTGACGTCCCAAATGAAAATGCATTTTAATTAGGGGTTTTTGTTGGGTTTTTGTTTCAAGTTGTTGTTGCCGCTGCTCGACTGCTTGCGGTTTCATTCATTAGTTGAATGGAGCTGGAGCAGAACAGGGTTGTCAGGCTACGATGAAGGGTATTCCAAACTTCTTGATTTAATTTTGAAGCAAAATTTTGTTTTTTTCAAAAATTATAAGTATAATATGTGTTTTTTTTTAACTTTTTATTTTTATAATGATGTTCAAAACATTTGATTAAATAGTTAGTATTTGTTTTTCATTTAGTTACAAATTATTATTAAATTATTATTAAATTAAATTATTAATCTAAGCCCAAATTTTGTTTAAAATCCACTTTTTAATGCAAATTTTCAGTAGACTTTAATATACATATCTACTAATTGGATGGATCGAGATTGAAGATTAGTAACGTGATATTACCCATAAATATATTATATTAATAAAAATCTGAAACTGATCGTAAAAATGTCTCCGAACGTTTTTTATTTATAGAAAATTCAAAAATTTAATAGTAAAATGTGTAAAACCAATTAATTAATAATATACATTAGTTCATTTGTTCATTAGTTCATCATACATTAGTTCAATCCTAATATTTCTATTTTAAGGAGATATATAATTCTATTTTATTAAAATTTTTAAAAGACATATCCCATCCAAAATCGACAACCCTGGCAATGGATATGCACACGAAATGGGACATTGAAAAAACGAGAAGCAAAACCTGGTCAGTGAGCGAGGAGTTGGTTCTGGGCCAGGCTGAAAAGATGGTTGGGGCCTTGTCGGGGGGTAGCCTGGGGTTTTTGGGCTTAAATGGATGCATAGCACCCACAAGTTTTTTTTTTTTTTTTGGCCATGCCATGCCATGCCATGCCATTCATTATAAACGTTGTTGTTCCTCGTTGTTCAATTGAATCGGTGAGTTGGGCGCAGGAGAAAAAAGGGTCCAATTAAAAAGCCACAACAATTAACGAGCCAAGTGAGTTAACTTGGCATAAGTGGAATTTTAATTGGCAACACGAGAGAGAGGTGGAGAGCGAATAGTGTATAGTTGGTGGGAGCCCAAGGGGGGTGGAGGTGGGTGGAGGGGGGCACTGATGGCCAAACAAGCAGGAGCCGAGTGACTTGCCGAGTGCCGATAAGTGCAGCGAGTGTGCGGGATGGAAGAGATGGAAGAGGTGGGGCCGTGCGGCCAAACTCTCGTTATGGTCTCCACAGTCCGGGAGTAGTTAAGTAAATGAGCATTTTGTTTCACTAATGAACACTAATGAATGCCAGAGACAGCTCTTGGATTTAGCCTTGTACGTGTGTGTTTGGGCTGGTGTGTGTGTGTTTGTTGGATGTTCGAGTGTGTGTGTGCGTGTACGGCCTTTTGTTGGTTTGGGGGGTTTTGTGTTGTTAATTAATAAACATGAAAGCCCGGAGACCCGGACTCTATTGTGTGTGCGTGTGTCTGTGCTTGCCCCGTTTTCAAGGGGTTAAAATAAGCAATTAGTTGGATTTTCGACTAGGCGCTCAGCAACGTGCAGACGCTGAACAGAAAACCCAGGCAGCCAAGGCAGGCCAGGCCAGGCCAGGCAGGCCATTCTGCTCTTCCAGCGCCGAAATGAGAAAGTTTAACTAACCGTCGCAGTCGCCGTCGCCGTCGCCGCTGCCGTTGCTGCTTCTGCTGCTGGTTCTTCTAACGAGGCGGCGGCGCAGGAGTCTGACCGCAGGAGCGAGAGAGACAGTTGGGGGAGAGGCTTACCCCGCCTAGACAGAGATGGGAAGATAGCCCCGCGAGGGAGTCCAATCCGCAGGTAAGCCAGCCACGCATCCATCGTGGCCCAGAGGGGTGGGACGGCCGGTAGAGGCGGCAGGAGGCGCAGCAGATAGCAGCGATGGCCTCGATGGAGATAGAGTCGGAGGAGTTCCACGGCCATGTGGGAACCACTTTCCTCTTGCAGCAGGCCATGCCCGGGCTCGCTGCTTAATTGGCAACCGCCGATGAGTCGAGCAATTAGCATGGACATGAACCAGCGCCAGAAATGACTAATGTCTAACAGGTGTGTCGGGGGAAAGGGCCTGGTCTTAACCAGGTTGAGTAGGGTCAGGAATTTATTGCTTACACGGCAAGAATTAGTAGTTACGTGACAACTAGGGAAATAACATTTTTACTCTCTTCGAGAATACATCTTATAAGTTATAACTACTATTTACACAAGATTTAACATCACAGTGTTTATAAAAAATGAATTAATTATTTCTTATAGTATTCTATATTAAATATTATATTATATATCATTTATTTTATAAATATTTACACAAATTTAAAAACTTTACTAATTTAATGGTATATTATTATATCTTATATTATTTAAAATCAAATTGATATTAATTAAAATATTATTATTTTTACTTAAATATCCTTTTCCCTTTCGAGATCAGATCACTTTCTGAAGTCTTGCGAACCTTATAACCCTAAAAGGCTTTGGGCAATAAAAAGCCAATTAATACAATGCCTTCTAAGGTCACTAGCAGCTTTCCTCATAAACGTAAACAATATCTCAATCTATATAGATCGGTTAACATGTATGTATGATCCAAAAATAAATCACCAGAACTGGGCACTGAGAGACAAGTTCTAATTGTGAAACGCCTCCAGAATAAATCTTATGCACTGCCGGGTCGAATGAATCACATTAATCGGCTGGCAATCAAGATATAATCCATACGTTTACATAAGACACCTATGACAGCCAAAGCCACCATAACTCTCCGGCGGAGCTTGAAGCCGTGCTCTACCATTGAGCTGCCAGACGCGATGACTTTATAAGGCGAAGCGCCGATCGACGCGCCATTGTCTGCCACCGAGCGAGGTGCGAACCTGCGGAGGAGGCTACCTAGCATGACACTGCGAAAAATATTTTATTTATAGATTTAAGGGTTTTATACTCTGTACTCTAAAAATAAAAGCAAACAAAGACACTTAAGAAAACAAGTATTAATACTGACCCACATGGCGTATACTTCTTTTTTTTAATTATTCAACCAACGGGTGTTGTTATTACTCTTATTATAGTTTTTATTTTTATTTTAAGTTTAAATTTAAAAGGAACACCCAAAATAATTTATAATCTCTGAATTGTACACTATCTTGATACATTTTTGAATATTTTATACGCAATAATAGACAACGCTTCGTATACTTAATTGTATGAAATTACAGTCTTTAAATATGAAATTAATTGCCAAATGAACCTAATATATACATACGTATGTACATACATATATGAAATTACTGAAATGAAATTATACCTCAAAATTGAATAATATTTCTTTCAGTGCCTGAACCCGTTTGAAGCTGTCGGAAGAAACCGCTCACCAAGTTGCCCCCCTGACGTCAGCGATTCAAAATACCTATTCGAAAACAGCAAATCGCGGGGGTCGACTCTCTGTGGCAAATAACAATCATTTACATGACAAGTTTTTCGCTCAAACAAGGTGAAATCATATTTTAGAATACGACCAGCTCAAGAGCGACTCAATCGTGTTTGTGAACGCGGAGTGACAAGATCCCCAGACTATAAACTTAAAACTTAAATAAACAAAAACTTAAAATGCCGCTGCGCAGGAAAGATGACTATATCCCGATCAAGTGCGAGGGCTGGAACGGAAAGTTTGAGTATCCCGAGGGAGCTGTGAACAATGTGTCCAAGATCCGGCGCCAGAACCAGAACGTCACCAATACCAATAACTTTTACGGATTCAACACGGAGCCCATTGTCCTGCCCACCGAGTGGGATGGAACCTTCGTGAAGAGCGGAGAGACCCGCATCAAGCAGGAACGCAATCGTTCCGACGATCAGGATTACTTCGACTATAATACGGAACCCACCATTTTGCCGCCCGTATGGAGTGGAGAGTTCGTCACCGATCCCAACGATGTGCGCATCAAGCCGGAAAGGAATTTCTCCGATCCTCGGGATTACGCAGAGGCCCACCGCTTCAAATTGATCAAGAACTGAGATTGGTAGTATCCGAGATCCTGTACCTGTACCACAGTCCAAGCTAATCCTGCAAATATTGCTCACGTTGTGTTTGTTCTTTTGGTTCCGCATTGTACCTACGCATATGTACTTCTCTCCCCCTAACCTAAGCGTTCGTTTTAATTAATTTTTATGATATTTATTTGTACACTTAATACAAAATAGCAAATAAAATATGGAAATACTAGAAAGTTCCGTTGTGCAATGATCACCTTCAGAAACGAGTCGACAGTTCGATTAGTGTGGGCGGTGAAGTGACCTTTTAAGGAAAACAATTCGATCTGAATGGAAACGTTTAATTTATAAATATAATATTCGTTGAGAGAAAATGCATATTCCATGACTAAGCTTAAAGATTACAGAAACCTTGAGTGTAATTCACTTTGAGACTAAACCCAACTTATTGGGCTTTCCCACTTTCAAAATATGAAATGTTTACTTTCAGTTAATTAGAAAAAGAAATTATCTTCCATTTTTAAGCAAACACTGATAGCAGAATATCTTAAACATTTCTTAGAAATCGCAAGGCTTTTGCAATCCCAATGTAAACACTTACCAAGCCAAGAAGTAATTTAAGAGTTTGTTTTTAAAAAATGCAATATATTATGAGGTCGCAGCTGATAATTTTTTTGTTCGGGGAACCACAATGGTGATAAGAAATCCTATATAAAACGCGCTCTGTCAATTTTTCCCTTCAGTCAGTCAAAATGCGAAGCTTTCAAGTATTATTATTTAGCTTGGGATTATTTAGTTTAGTTTCCAGTCAATCTGCGAGTCTAGACGCTTATATTTTACAAAATCAGCGGCAATACGATGCTAAAATCAAGTCTTACGAAGATCAGTTGGCAAACTTTCGGACTTTATTCGCCAAGAGGCTGGAGGCGATCAACCTACAAGCTGATTCCATGCAACTAAAACTGGAGGAGGCATCTGCCCGGTTGGACCCCATCGCCTTGATCGACGGCTGGAGCAAGCAGTGTGTCCAGAACTATTCCTCCAGTATTCCAACAGTGACTGCGTCCCGGGCGGCGTTAGTCAAGTGTACGGAGAGTATCAATGGAGTTTTGAACAATGTTGAAAGTACCTATAATTCTCTAAAAAGCTACTATGCCAACAACCTGAAGAATGCGTTGGCCAATTGTAATAAGGTTTACACAAAGGCCCTATTAAACTACACTGTCTGTGTGACCAAAGTGGTAAGACTCATTGAAACCTTTACAATTTTAAATAATTAATTAAATATTTTTATGGTCAGATCGCCGATGCCAACCAGTACACAATCACCAATCAGAACAACTTTAACACATACCTGAAAAGTGCCGAATGCACGGCTGATTCTAAGATACGATCCTCTTGGCAATGTGCTTTTGGCCAGGTTTACTCCACAACGGCCACCGTGGAAGTGGCTTTAAGACTGGTCAACGATTGCATCGAAAATAGAAATGTATGCGGCTCTAATTTGTGCGATACTGGTTGTCCAGTCCGAAAGACGGTGAGTCTGAAGGAGTTCGATCTACGCAACGAAACCCTCCAGAATCCCTTCAGATACACAGACCAGCATCCAAATTGCCTGGAAATAAGGTGGAATTAATAAGTTTAGTAAAAGAAACATTGCTTAAATGTATAAATATTAAAGCAATAAGTAAATAATCTGTTTTAAAGCCAACAATTTATTAAAGATTTTAAAAGTTAAATAAATAAAATAAGTATGGAGGCTATGTAGTCGACACTGGAATACCCTTGCTGAGTATATTAAACATATACTAAAACATTTGTTAATGAACTTTCTACTCATCTGCATTAAAATCATTAAGATTATATTAAAGTATGATGATTCATATATATTTTTGAGAAAAGGTTTAAAAACCATGCAACGTCATTAAAAAGATTCTTAGAGGGTAGTTTCGGTTTTTCCGATTTAAAAAATATCAAAGCCAAATTAAGTTAAATACAAATAATAACTCAATTATTTATTTAGCAAAGAAGCATTATTATTTATTTAAAACCAACTGAAAAAACAGTAAACAATTTTCTATTGAACTGAAATGGCTATAAAAACCGCATGAAGTCAACTTTAATCTTCAATCAACTTTAAAATGCAGAAAGTTCAACTTGTGATTGGTGTTATTATAATTCTGGCACTTGGAGTGTCTTCTCATCGGGATCGGGACTTTGATGTCACCGAGTCCATGGTGGAGTATCTGCAACTTTACCAAAGTAACTATGAGGCGAAAGTAAAAAAATGTGAGGAAATGCTGGTTGACTTCCGCAAAGGATTCGCCAAGGAAACAAGAGGTATCGATCTGCAAAGGGATCTTTTGAGAAGCCGGGTGGAGGAAGCCTGGTCCCAGCTGAAACCCATGGAGTTAATCGACTCCTGGCATCGTCAGTGCGTCCGGAACTACAGTTCGGTGATCCCTACGACTTATCAGGCCGGGGCCTCCATGACAGAGTGTTACATAACTGCCAACACCTATTTTAATGGCATTGAAAGTAGCGCCAAGCACATCTGTTCCTCCATCAAGAGCCTGGCAACTAACACATTTGGGAATCACAAACGCAGTTGCCAAATAGGCCATAAAAAATCTCAAGCAGATTATAATAATTGCATAAAAAAATCGGTGAGTTTCAGAGAGTATATGATGAAGCTTATAGAATTAACTATATTCCTGTTTACAGATTACCACATTGGATACGGACATTTCCCGACTCTGGAGTTCGTTTCACAAACATTTGGATGAGGCCAACTTTAGTGCCAAGACTCGGATTCGAATGGCCTGGCTCTGTGCCTTCAATACCCTATATACCACCAGCAACAATCTCGGTTCCTCGATGCGTCTTATTAACGACTGCATCGCCGGTCAGAGATCCTGCGGCACAATGTCCTGCACTTCACGATGCTCCAACCAAATGCGCTTAGATGTCCAAGAAAGAGATTTCCAAAGTCTTACCATCAAGAATCCATTTTATGGGGGAAATAAACATTTGGGATGTGTAGAATTCAGATTCAAATAAGATGAAAAATATAAATATTTTAGAAATTTAAATTAAAATCTGAACAGGAGAACAGAATACATCCAAGAATAAAACTAATTTGACCTTTTCAGGTACCTGCAAGAGTTCTATCAGAATTGAAGACACAGATGCTCAAAAAGAGCCGACCAAAGAACCCAAATCCCGGAATTCCAAGAATTCAGAATCCCATAAAAGCAGGAATCTGCTTTGTGTGAGGTTTTCATTATAGTTTTTACTGATCCCTCATGCCATTATCTTGATGGCAGATGCGTGAGAAGAAAGGCACAGGCTACGATTTTCAAAATGAATAGAAAAGTGCATTCAAAAGGCCGAAGATCTCTAGACACGGGCTAACCGTGTGAAATAATCCAGATGCTTGGGAAACCTTGGAAAAAATCGAATGGGAAAACAGAAAAACTCATAGGTGATTGGAAAAAACTCGGAAAATAGACACGAGCAGGTAGACAGTCTTCTGGGAAAATGATCCTTTGTGTAGGGGAAGCAGATGCGACCGTGGGAGACTTTCCAAAATGTTTATCTCAATTATCGATTTTTCAACAGGAGAACAGAAAAATTAGGATGAAGAGTTGTGGAAAATCAAAGATTTTCGCAGGACCTACCTGTTGCTTGAGAACAAAAGGATGTCTTGCAGCCGGAGCAGCTGTGGGAAAATTCTTTTAGCCTCAACCGTGTATCCCTAATCTTCTCAGGATCGTGTGAACATTTTTGGTTTGTGGTGATATCAGAAGAAACATGGAACAGGTTATCAGCTATTTTAGCAGCTAATTTGGAGAAGAGTCTCCAGATTCTACCTGTGGGCAGGTGTCTGGGAAAATATACCACAGCTGCAACCTGTGATTCATCAAAGGCATTCGATTCTTTTGACTTTTCACAAACAATGAAAATGGTCTCCCGCCCACATCGTTTTTTAAGAATCTTAAAGAATTTGATTTTCCAGCCGGAGCAGCTGTGGGAAAATTCGTACAGCTGCCGTTGATCATCGATCGTGTGAATTTTCCAAAATTCATCTGGAAATTGAAAATTTTTCTACCAAGTCAACAGAAAAATGTGCAGCACATTAGTCGTTTTTCCAAAATTTTCTTCTACCTGTTGCATGTTCATGGGAAAATGCATCGAGAATTGACAATCCCAAAAAAATACCGCTCGGGGTTTCCAGGAAACCTGTTGCTTGTAGTAGACCCTCCCCCTTTTTAAAAAACGATCCTTTTTTAAGGATCCATCATCAATAGAATTGCAGCCGGAGCAGCTGTGGGAAAGATTTCATCTGCCATCGATCCTTTTTTCAGATCGTGTGAATTTTCCGAGCCAGCTGAGAAAATTTATAGTTTCGTTACCAGGCCAACAGAATTAAAAGCAACAGGGCTGCTGAGTTTTCCTTTGATGACAGACTTTTCCTACCTGTAAAAGGATCCTGTGAAAAATCAATTCATTTTTCGACCAAACCTGTTGCATTCCATTCCAGCAGGCAGCTGGGAAAATCTAACAAAAGAGCATCTGCCTGCTTTGCCCTCGAGCCAAAACCGTGTGAATTTTCCAACTCAAGCGAGGAAAAGGAAAAGCCAAGCACCAGGATAACAGCAGAATTAGCAGGACTAGACTCCGAATTTTCCTTGGGAAATTCGTTTTTCCTACCTGCATCGGGTCCTGATAGAATGCATATCATTTTCCAAAGACTTGTTGCATGGGAAAGGAATTTTTTAAACCTTAAAAAGGTTCCCCAAACAATTAAAACATTTTTTAATAGATGAAAGAGGATTCCTTGTCCTGGGAAAATGCAGCTGGATGGCAGCACAAGATAAAGCGATTTCCTGTAACCTGTTGCATGGGAATATTTTCCAAGAGCATCTGTGAGAAAATTTTAACATGAAAATGCAGTTTATCGTGTGAAAATTTGCGTCTAATCATGAAAATAGAGTATTCGCTGAACAGGAAAACAGAAAAAGGAATAGCAGGCTAGGAAAAAAAGTAAGGAATTTTTTCCCAAAAAAGTAAGGGATCCTACCTGCTATAGGGTCCTGGGAAAATGCATCTGGATAGGAGCACACGATACAATCATTACCATTTTCCGGCCTAATGAAGAGGCAGAACCTATTTTTCATGCGAAAGGTTTTTTAAGAGAGTGTGGGATCTTTTTGAAGATCTTAAATTCGTGTGAAAATGAAACCAAGGTATTGATTTGAAAATAGGCGTAAGAAGTATTATTTAAAAACATTTTTAAAATGAAACCTACAAGTCATCCAACTTGTTGGTAGTCTGGGAAAATTATCTTTACATCTTTGTCCACAATAATTACCATGAGAAAGTAGGAAAATGTTTAAGCGTGTGAAATTTTGGTAACTCTTTCAGAGCCTTAATGAGTAAGATACCAGGATTACAGAAATAATAGGCCATCAAAGTAAAAGGAAAATATTCTACCTAAGCCTGGAAAAGAGCAACAAGTTATATAAAGAAGTTCTGGGAAAATGTTCAAGGGACTGCAACACGATCCCCGTGTTTTCTTCGTGGGAAGAAATTATCACCACTAACAAAAGCCTTCCCATATCTTAGAAAAGAAAACATTAAACATGCCGTTATAAAAAAAGAGCATCTTGAGGATTGTCGGAAGCAAGATCATTAATAATAATACAGGATATCAGTTTTGTAAAAAATAAAAAATAAAACTATTTCCTGAAACCGGAAATTGATTCTTAATTTACAGCTTCCATTTCCAATCCCAGGAAGATCTTACTATTTTCTATCCTGCGAAAACTATTGTTACATATTTTTACATAATAATTAACATGAGAAAATTAGAAAATATAAAAACTCTTTCAGATCCTTAATGAATAAGCTACCAGGATCACAGAAATAATAGGCCATGAAAGGAAAAAATTCTACCTAAGGCTGAAAGAGAGCAACAAGTAATAAAAAAAATTTCTAGGAAAATGTTCATGGGAATGTAACAGCAACCCCGAGTTTTCTTTGTGGGAAAAATCTATTCAAGTATCACCAGAAACCAAATCCTGCCAATATCTTAAAAAAAGGAAACGTCTCACCTCACATAGGAAACATCCTTAAGATCATCTGAAGGATTACCGGAAGCAAGATCAGTTCCTTCGTCACTTTACTTTAAAGGTCACTTTACAAACAGGATATGGGTTTTGTTTACATTAAAAAAAACCATTTCCTGTAACAGGCAATTTATTTTCAATCTTCAGTTTTCCTTTCCTACACAGTCATCTTACTTCTTGATATTCTGAAAAAATTATCTTTTCATCTATGCCTATTATGCAACAGGAAATTTGTCTAAGAGTGTGAAATTGGTGTAACTCTTTTAAAGCCTTAATTAATGAGCTACCAGGATAACAGAAATAAATGGCCGTGAAAGTAATAGAAAATATTCGACCTAAGCCTAAGTCTGCAAAAGAGCAACAAGTAAGAAAATAAATGTCGGAGAAAATCTTCATGGGAATGAAACACAATCCCTCAATTTTCTTTCTGGGAAAGCCACAAGTATCACCAGAAAACAAATCCTGCCAATGTTTAAAAAAGGGACATAGCACATGCCGTTAAAAAAAGATCATCTTAGGGATTACCGGAAGCAAGATCAGTTCATTCGGAAAGGTCAATTAACATACAGGAAATAGGTTTTGTAGACTCTTAAACCCCAATTTCCTGCAACCGGAAATTAATTTTAAATTTTACAACTTTCCTTTCCTGTCCTAGGAAGTCATCTTACTTGTTGATATTCTAGAAAAATAATTTGTACATCTGTGCCTATAATAATTACCATGAGAAAATGCGTTTAAGCGTGTGAAATTTGTGTAACACTTTCAAAGCCTTAATGAATAAGCTACCAGGGTAACAGAAATTATAGGCCGTGAAACTAATAGGAAAATATTCTACCTAAGCCTGCAAAAGAGCAACAAGTAAGAAAATAAATTTGTGGGAAAATCTGTAAGGGAATGAAACACGATCCCCGAATTTTTTTTCCGGGAAAGCCATAAAATCCTGCCAATTTTTGAAAAAGAGGCCACAACACATGCCTTTACAAAAAAAACGATCATCTTAAGGATTACCGGAAGCAAGATCAGTTCCTTCGGAAAAGTCAATTAACAAATAGGACATGGGAACCCATTTCCTATAACAGGAGATTTATTTTCAATCTTACAATTTTCATTTTCTGTCCCAGGAAGTTAATTTACTTGTTGATAGTCTGAAAAGTTAATTACTATGAGAAAGTGAGAAAATGTTTAAGCGTGTGAAATTTGTGTAACTCTTTCAAAGCCTTAATGAATAAGCTACCAGGATTACAGAAATAATAGGCCATGAATGTAATGGAAAACTATTTAATCTAGGTCTGAAAAGAGCAACAAGTAATGAAAAGACGTTCTGGGAAAATGTTGTTAATGGAATGGAACACGAACCCCGACTTTTCTTTGTGAGAAAAAGATTCAAGTGGTGGTTGAACTGACAATTAGCTAATAGGGTATCAGAGTTACTGGAGAGTGTCACAGGAAGATAAGTTCAAAGAAAACAAAATTTTAAAGAAAACAAGAAACTAAACATGGAAAATGGGGATACTTTTAGGATTTCCGGAAGCAAGATCATTTTCTCCGGAAATGGAATTAAAAAACAAAATAAGACATTTTTTAACACTACAAATAATTTTCCAATAACAGGATAATAGAAAACTATATTACCTGAAAAAGAGCAAGAAGTAATAAAACGAATTTCTAAGAAAATCTTCAATGCCACGATCCACTAATATTCTTCGTGGGAAAAAGATTCAAGTGGTGGTTGAACTGACAATTAGCTAATGGGATAACAGAGAAACTGGCAAGTGACCCGGGAAACAAGATCCTTCCAATATCTTAAAAAAAAGTAAAAAAATCGCACATGCCAAGAAAAAGAAAGATCATCTCAAGGATTGCCGGAAGCTGGATCAGTTCCTTCGGAAATGTTAATTACAAACAGGATGTGAGTTTTGTTAACACTTGAAATATCATTTCCTGTAACAGGAAATTTATTTTCAATCATTTCCGGTCCCAGCTATATGTTTCTTAAAAAAAATAAATATTTATTCAATCGACACATGTTTTTTGGGTCCATTTTTTAGG